TGTGTGTGTGTGTGTGTGTGTGTGTGTGTGTGTGTGTGTGTGTGTGTGTGTGTGGGGTGTGTGGTGTGTGTGTGTGTGTGTGTGTGTGTGTGTGTGTGTGTGTGTGTGTGTGTGTGTGTGTGTGTGTGTGTGTGTGTGTGTGTGTGTGTGTGTGTGTGTGTGTGTGTGTGTGTGTGTGTGTGTGTGTGTGTGTGTGTGTGGGTGTTGGTGTGTGTGTGTGTGTGTGTGTGTGTGTGTGTGTGTGTGTGTGTGTGTGTGTGTGTGTGTGTGTGTGTGTGTGTGTGTGTGTGTGTGTGTGTGTGTGTGTGTGTGTGTGTGTGTGTTTGTGTGTGTGTGTGTGTTTGTGTGTGTGTGTGTGGGTCTGTGTGTGTGTGTGTGTTTGTGCGTGCGCGTGCGCGTGTGCGTGTGCCTGTGCGCTTGAGTGTGTGTGCGCGCCTGCGCGCGTGCGCGCGCGTGCGCGTGTGTGCGTGCGAGTGTGCGTCTGTGCGTATGCGTGTGCAAATGCGTGTGCGTGTGCGTGTGCGTGTGAGTAGGCGCGGACGTGCGCGCGAACAAGCGCGTGCGCGTGCGCGCGCGCGCGCGCGTGCGCGTGCGCGTGTGCGTGTGTGTGTGCGAGGGCGTGTGCGTGTGCGTGCGCGTGTGCGTGTGCGCGCGCGCGCGTGCGCGCGTGCGTGCGAGCGCGCGTGCGGACGTGCAAACGTGCGGCCGTGCGGGCGTGAGGGCTTGCGGGCGTGCGGGCGTGTGTGTGCGCGTGTGTGTGTGTGGCGCCCTGTTGCGCGCGTTGCCTGCGCGACTGCGCGTGGTTGTGTTTGTGGTTGTGCGCAGTTGCGTTCGGTTGCCGGCGGTTGCACGGGTGTGTGGTTGTGTGGCTGCGTGGGCGTGGGCCCACACGCACACACGCGCGCGCCCGGGGGCTCTGGGACGATTCCAGTTGATTCGAAGCGCGCACGCCAGTATCACGAGCTTTTGAAAAAGACCCCACGGCCCGAGCCTGCAATGTGGGCCGCCCTGGGCCAAGCAATCTGTTCAATGTTTTGACAGGTTCAAGCCGGCTCTAACATTGAGCGCTGGACACACTGCTGACATGTGCCTGAGGCTGATCTTTCCCGATTGCAAATGATGCTCAGCAGCGTTGTCACAAACAACCCCGGAATCTCAAGTCGATCAGGAGCTTGGCCATTCCATGCTGTCACCCGTACAAAGATAAAACGCTGTGTACAAAATCGCACCGGCTGGTCGGAAAGCTCAAAAATAATTCACTCAGGCCCGAGTTGGCTTTAAGTCTCCAAGTCCAGTATTATCGCCCTCTTGGGCAGCAGAATCTTCACTCGCTCTTCGTCCCAAATCTCGGCAATCAAAGGCTGAAACTGTCTCCCCTATGCCTTCCGCCTTGGTGTCCTGAGTCAGGGCGACAGGGGTCTTGATCTTGCTGCCGTCAGGCACGCCCCGAAGCTGGCTCAGAGGCATCCACCTCCCGCCCGACGTCGACGACGCTCTCCGAGCACTCTCCTTGCGTTCCTTCATCACTCCTCGCCTTGCGAGACTCCATAGAATCCGGCTCTGTGACACTGCCCATGGAATTGAAGGGCACAACCATCCTCAAACTTCGTGACCTGGGTTCACAAAAACAGTCGGGCCCTTGCACGACGAGGCCCGCCTACCAGCGCGACGTTCCGGGGAGATTCTGGTTGGCCAGCCTCAAAGAAAACGGCAATTTCGCCACGCAATCACAAGGTGGAAGTAGCGGCTCGTCTGCTGGGCAAGCGCTGGCTGGGCCGGCGTTGTCGCTTCAGGCAACAGGGGCGTGATGACCGCGGACCCTGGCAAACTTCGCGGAGCCGGAACCTGAACTGTTCACTTCAGGAATGACGTTCCTGCAGCTCTTCGACAACAACAGTAACTGGAAAGAGCCTCTGTTCGGCCAAAGACGGGCGGCTGGATCTTCCGCCCGCTCTGCGTCTGCGACAGTCACGGACGTTTGCCAGCATGAACGCGCCTGCGCGAAGGCTACCCTGCTGACAACACACCCCATCTTCAAGGAGGCGCTTGACAAACCCGCATGGACAAAGCGCACACCTCGCCGAAAAGCACGTTGGGGTCACCTTTTCAGGACAGGTTCTGGGAACTTGGCCATCCGCGAACGCTGAGCGTGGAGGCCAACGGATCCACACCACGCTGGTCGAGAAGGGTGCTGCCAGACGCATTCTGCTGGAGTTGGGCGAGTTGGGCGGCCTCATGCGCAGGTAGGCTCAGGCCTTCACCAGCGTCGCCAGCTCGCATCACTTCCTGCTGCTGTTGTAGCACCATTTGCGGGCACATTTTTCCAGAAGCATGAGTCAGGCCCTTTTAAGGAGCGCCCCCGGGCACCAGGGACACTCGCGCTGTTTTTGGGGAGGCCAGCGCATCGTCTGCTTCACGAATTCGCTGGGAAGAGGGCTGCGGCCACGTGGCGCTCAGGAGTTGTACTGCGCCAAAAGTCCTGCTGACTGGTTGTCCTCCAGGATAGCCCGGACGGTCCCATCGTTGTTGTCCACGGCATAGATCTTGCTCATCATCACCCGCAGAATCGTCTCCTGTGCACACTCCAGAACCTCACCTCTAGCGTTCTCGCCCGTTTATTGGTTCGGGCGCCGTCTTGATCAAGGGCTCGGCCATTCCATGTTTTCACCCGCACAAAGATCGAACGCTTGCTCAAGAACTGCAATTCGAATGAACTTCGCAGAAGTTGATATAGTCACACCCTGCTTTCCGCTGCTCAATGCTGAGCAGGAGGCCGTTGTTGTCCAACCCCAAGCCAGGCTTGCACAGCCCGCAAACCGCCAAGTCCTGCACCCGCTGCCGCAAAAAGAGCACAAAAGACTGGGACTTGGGGCCTGCAACTGTACAGCTCCCAACACATTTATGGCGAAGAATGTTCCATCTTCTGTGGGTCCTCATAGCAGTCTCTGCAGTCTTCGACCTTGCAAGGTAAGCACCTGGCGGGCTGGAGCGGCAAACTGGCGGGCCACGAGGAACATCAAGAGTTGCGTGGGACATCAGACCCAAAGTTCCATAGGCACATGCGCCTCCCAGCGTGTAGTCCAAAGCCGTCTTTGCAGCCACCATAGTCACAGGGGATGGACTCCTGGCACGACAAGCGTCAAGCAGACGGCTGCGCTGCAAGCGTGCTTCGCGCAGTTTGTTCACAACCGTCTCGCCCCCTCCAAATGGGTATGAACCCGGCATAAGGGCTCGCTAGGGTATCCCAACCAAGCCGTTACCATAGCGATCCCTCGCTGCAGCCTGAGACGCACGTCCCGGATCTTCAAAAAAATGTTGTGCGCTACATGTTTAGGTGCAACCATGACAACAATATGAAAAAACTATAACAGGCTAATAAAAGCCCTATCTATATATGTGTGCATACATACCACAGTCCGAATACCAATGAAACATATTTCACACCAATGTGACAAATACGTCAATAGGATTGATCCCCGCCCAGTTTCCCAATCGAACAAAGATCGCTTTCCAATCCCAATGCTTGTCAGCATTGTTCCTGTTTAAGCCACCCCGTAAACATAAACAAAGAACCGCGAAACAAGATATCAATACCAGCCCAACCTCGGAAGAAGAGGCAAAGCCTCTTCTTCAGGTACACTAGGGATGGAATATTGGGGCATCGAATTCGATGGGGATTCATGTCCACCAACCACATTTGAGATGGCAGCCACATGCAAGGCGACTTCAACCCCCGCTCCGAATCCGTGAGGTTCACCACCCCGAAGTCCAAAGGTGCGGCCCCAAATTCGCAGCTCTCGCCTGATGGCAAGCCCAACCAACTCTCATCCCGGGCAGGTGGTCCAAAACCCCAAGTGGTGGGCAAGAAGGCGGGCCAAGTCTTTTGGAACTTCTTCTGTCTGCCGCTGGGCGGGTGCTCAGCCTTGATTTATTCAGCCGCACGGGGTTTTACCTTGATGTGTGCGATGACTGGGGCTAGAAGGAACACCGCCAGGTCGGGATTGACGCCAAGTTGCAATGGTCCACACACGGCCAGCAGCGCCCCTGATGGTAGTGCGTGCCTGCCCCCGCCCAAAAAAAAAGTCTGCCCCTGGAGCGCTCTGCACGTCATCTGCCCCGAAATCAACTGATTCAGCTCCGCAAGTGAGGAATGTCCACCCAGCGCCTTTGATGCACTTCCCCGGGTCGCAAAGGTGAGATCCCGAGAGCTCACAGGACTCGCAGAAGGGAGAGCAAGCCGGGATCAACCTCCAGCCGGCGTTCCACGTGTGCCAAATGTGGGGCCGGTTGCGGTTCCGAAAGCTGGGGTCAAGGCAAACTTGCCTTCGCAGGGGTGCCAGCCAAAGCTCGACCTCAGCTTGCTTTCCAACCCTGCGGCTCACGCCGCGGGCAAGACTTTCTCCCAGAGAAGTACCAAACAAATCAGCATGCGCACCGCCACCCCGTTGAGTGCCAATAAATCGGCATGAGTCGTAACAGGTCATAACAAAATCGCCAACGCAATGTGCCCATGTCACGACTGAGCAAGAAACACGCACGCACGCACACATACACAGAAGCAAACACACAGACGCACAGACACACCGACACACAGATGCACACAAACAAACAAACAAACAAGCAAACAAATAAAAAGAAACAAAGAAGCAAAGAAACGAAACAAGCAAACAAAGCAAGCAATGAAGCAAGCAAGCAAGCAAGCAAACAAACAAGCAACAAAACAAAACAAACAAACAAGCAACAAAACAAAACAAAACCAAACCAAACCAAACCAAGCCAACCAACGAAACAACATACCAAATCAAACCAACCAAACAACCAACCAACCAAACAAAGGAACAAACGAACAAAACAAAAACAAAAAACATGTATATATATATATATAAATGTGTGTGTGTACGTATATGCCATATGTATATTCTCAAGGACTGCCCAGTTCAGTTCCCAAGCAAAACCCAAGACTTAGTGCCAGCCACGACAGTTACAAGGGCCCACTTACCATCCTCAACCCGCTCAGGGCCCGGTGCTGTGCGGGTTCTCCGCTGTGACAAAGACCGTGTAAGTGGTGGGGAACTCGGCCTTGGCAGAACGATCAGCCAAAAGTCCACGCTTCGGGCCCTACCTGAATCCCGGAGATTAGAAAGCTGCCCTCAAAGGGCTCGGTGGTTTTGTACAGCTTCTCCTGAGCGAAACACAACCCAATGTGCACTGCCATGTTCAATCAAGAAGGTCAAGTCATTCCCAAAACAGAACCTTTTGCCATGTCCTGCTTCAACAAGTCTTTGTAATAGGTGCTGGTCTGCGACTTGACATGCGCCTCCATCCAATGGTACGCCTGGCTCCTTGCGCAGTCATCCGTGCTTGAAGACAGCCATGCAATCATCAGGCCTGACGGTCTGCGCGCCTAAGTGAAAGACGCAAATGGGCAAAGCAGTGCCAATCTGCTGTCTGGCTAACTCGCAACGTTTGCAGGCCCCTTTTCAATTCATGGGACTGACTCACGGACTGACTGACTGACTGACTGACTGACTGACTGACTGACTGACTGACTGACTGACTGACTGACTGACTGACTGACTGACTCACTGACTCACTGACTCACTGACTCACTGACTCACTGACTCACTGACTCACTGACTCACTGACTCACTGACTCACTGACTCACTGACTCACTGACTCACTGACTCACTGACTCACTCACTGACTCACTCACTCACTGACTCACTGACTCACTCACTGACTCACTGACTCACTGACTCACTCACTGACTCACTCACTCACTCACTCACTCACTCACTCACTCACTCACTCACTCACTCACTCACTCACTCACTCACTCACTCACTCACTCACTCACTCACTCACTCACTCACTCACTGACTCACTCACTCACTCACTCACTCACTCACTCACTCACTCTCACTCACTCACTCACTCACTCACTCACTCACTCACTCACTCACTCACTGACTCACTCACTCACTCACTCACTCACTCACTCACTCACTCACTCACTCACTCACTCACTCACTCACTGACTCACTCACTGACTCACTGACTCACTGACTCACTGACTCACTGACTCACTGACTCACTGACTCACTGACTCACTGACTCACTGACTCACTGACTCACTGACTCACTGACTCACTGACTCACTGACTCACTGACTCACTGACTCACTGACTCTCACTGACTCACTGACTCACTGACTCACTCACTGACTCACTGACTCACTGACTCACTGACTCACTCACTGACTCACTGACTCACTGACTCACTGACTCACTGACTCACTGACTCACTGACTCACTCACTCACTCACTCTGACTCACTCAATCACTCACTGACTCACTGACTCACTGACTCACTGACTCACTGACTCACTGACTCACTGACTCACTGACTCACTGACTCACTGACTCACTGACTCACTCACTCACTCACTCACTCACTCACTGACTCACTGACTCACTGACTCACTGACTCACTGACTCACTGACTCACTGACTCACTGACTCACTGACTCACTGACTCACTGGCTCACTGGCTCACTGGCTCACTGGCTGACTGGCTGACTGGCTGACTGGCTGACTGACTCACTGACTCACTCACTCACTCACTCACTGACTCACTGACTCACTGACTCACTGACCCACTGACTCACTGACTCACTGACTCACTGACTCACTGACTCACTGACTCACTGACTCACTGACTCACTGACTCAATCACTCACTGACTCACTGACTCACTGACTCACTGACTCACTGACTCACTGACTCACTGACTCACTGACTCACTCACTCACTCACTCTCTCACTCACTCACTCACTCACTGACTCACTGACTCACTGACTCACTGACTCACTGACTCACTGACTCACTGACTCACTGACTCACTGACTCACTGACTCACTGACTCACTGACTCACTGACTCACTGACTCACTGACTCACTGACTCACTGACTCACTGACTCACTGACTCACTGACTCACTGACTCACTGACTCACTGACTCACTGGCTCACTGACTCACTGACTCACTGGCTCACTGACTCACTGACTCACTGACTCACTGACTCACTCACTCACTCACTCACTCACTCACTCACTCACTCACTCACTCACTCACTCACTCACCTCACTCACTCACTCACTCACTCACTCACTCACTCACTCACTCACTCACTCACTCACTCACTCACTCACTCACTCACTCACTCACTCACTCACACTGACTCACACTGACTCACTGACTCACACTGACTCACTGACTGACTCACTGACTGGCTCACTGACTGACTCCCTGACTCACTGACTCACTGACTGACTCACTCACTGACTCACTCACTGACTCACTCACTGACTCACTCACTCACTCACTCACTGACTCACTGACTCACTGACTCACTGACTCACTCGCTGACTCACTCGCTGACTCACTCACTGACTGACTCACTGACTCACTGACTCACTGACTCACTGACTCACTGACTCACTGACTCACTGACTCACTGACTCACTGACTCACTGACTCACTGACTCACTGACTACACTGACTCACTGACCAGACTCACTGACTCACTGACTCACACTCACTCACTCACTCACTCACTCGCTCACTCACTCACTCACTCACTCACTCACTCACTCACTCACTCACTCACTCACTCACTCACTCACTCACTCACTCACTCACTCACACTGACTCACTGACTCACACTGACTCACTGACTGACTCACTGACTGACTCACTGACTGACTCCCTGACTCACTGACTCACTGACTGACTCACTCACTGACTCACTCACTGACTCACTCACTGACTCACTCACTGACTCACTCACTGACTCACTGACTCACTCACTGACTCACTGACTCACTCACTGACTCACTGGCTCACTGACTCACTCACTGACTCGCTCACTGACTCACTCGCTGACTCACTCGCTGACTCACTCGCTGGCTGACTCACTCGCTGACTCACTCGCTGACTCACTGACTCACTGACTCACTGACTCACTGACTCACTGACTCACTGACTCACCCACTCACTGACTCACCCACTCACTGACTCACTCACTGACTCACTCACTGACTCACTCACTGACTGACTCACTGACTCACTGACTCACTGACTCACTGACTCACTGACTCACTGACTCACTGACTGACTCACTGACTCACTGACTCACTGACTCACTGACTCACCCACTCACTGACTCACTCACTGACTCACTCACCGACTCACTCACCGACTCACTCGCCGACTCACTCACTGACTCACTGACTCACTCACTGACTCACTGACTCACTCACTGACTGACTCACTCACTGACTCACTGACTCACTGACTGACTCACTGACTCACTGACTCACTGACTGACTCACTGACTGACTCACTGACTGACTCACTGACTCACTGACTGACTCACTGACTGACTCACTGACTGACTCACTGACTGACTCACTGACTGACTCGCTGACTCGCTGACTCGCTGACTCGCTGACTCACTGACTCACTGACTCACTGACTCACTCACTGACTCACTCACTGACTCACTGACTCACTGACTCACTGACTCACTGACTCACTGACTCACTGACTCAATCACTCACTGACTCAATCACTCACTGACTCACTGACTCACTGACTCACTGACTCACTGACTCACTGACTCACTGACTCACTGACTCACTGACTCACTGACTCACTGACTCACTGACTCACTCACTCACTCACTGACTCACTGACTCACTGACTCACTGACTCACTGACTCACTGACTCACTGACTCACTGACTCACTGACTCACTGACTCATCACTGGCTCACTGGCTCACTGGCTGACTGGCTGACTGGCTGACTGGCTGACTGACTCACTGACTCACTCACTCACTCACTCACTGACTCACTGACTCACTGACTCACTGACCCACTGACTCACTGACTCACTGACTCACTGACTCACTGACTGACTCACTGACTGACTCACTGACTGACTCACTGACTGACTCGCTGACTCGCTGACTCACTGACTCACTGACTCACTGACTCACTGACTCACTGACTCACTGACTCACTGACTCACTGACTCCTCACTGACTCACTGACTCCTCACTGACTCACTGACTCACTGACTCACTGACTCACTGACTCATCACTGACTCACTGACTCACTGACTCACTGACCCCTCACTGACTCACTGACTCACTGACTCACTGACTCATCACTGACTCACTGACTCATCACTGACTCATCACTGACTCACTGACTCCTCACTGACTCACTGACTCACTCCTGACTCACTCACTGACTCCTCACTGACTCACTGACTCACTGACTCACTGACTCACTGACTCACTGACTCACTGACTCACTGACTCACTGACTCACTGACTCACTGACTCACTGACTGACTCACTGACTCACTGACTCACTGACTCACTGACTCACTGACTCACTGACTCACTGACTCACTGACTCACTGACTCACTGACTCACTGACTCACTGACTCACTGACTCACTGACTCACTGACTCACTGACTCACTGACTCACTCACTGACTGACTCTGACTCACTGACTCACTGACTCACTGACTCACTGACTCACTGACTCACTGACTCACTGACTCACTGACTCACTGACTCACTGACTCACTGACTCACTGACTCACTGACTCACTGACTCACTGACTCACTGACTCACTGACTCACTGACTCGCTCGCTCGCTCGCTCGCTCGCTCGCTCGCTCGCTCACTCCCGCACCACTGCTCACCAACTCGCTGAATCCTATACTGAAACAAACATGGACTATCCAGCTGACAGTCTAGCTGGCTCTATTTTCTGACGCTCTGGTGGCAAGCTCGTGGACTCTGGCTGCCTGCCTGCCTGCCTGCCTGCCTGCCTGCCTGCCTGCCTGCCTGCCTGCCTGCCTGGGCTACTGGCTAGATTGTTTGGAGCCAACAGGGCCCGCACTGCCAGCTCTGAACGCGGCGTTGTTGTTGCCATCGTTGCCTCGCAGTACCTGCGTCGACGCAGGTGCTGCCTGCTTTCTCAGTGAAAGGCCCGTGCAAACAGTGAGAACCCTGGCCTGCAATGAGGAAGGAACAATCGGCTCAGCCTGCGAATCGAGTGCAATCCAGTGGAGTCCTTGGAGCACTCTCAACATTCTTCGAGCTTGACTTTCATGCCACCCGGGCGAAAGCAGATGGCACATTTCCCTCAATGGGGCTAAGGAAGGAAAATGACTAAGCCAAATTTGGAAATTGTGTCGCGTACTTTCACCCAACTGCATCTATGACAGCATGTATGGAGCAACTTGCACGCAGCACTCCGAGATGCGCGCGCGGAGGAACAGGCCTATCCTGAAGATACGGTCACATCTCATCGAGCATTTCCTTGATAAATCCGTGGTGCTTCTCTAGCATATTAGATGGGCCTTCAACAACACGATTTGATTCTTCGTTACGTGTTGTGAGCACATCCGTTCAGTTGTTGCCGAAGGCCCTTTGTCTCCCCCCTGTGATATGAGAAAAAGCCTTTGACTGCATCGCAAACTGGTAAAGCGGGCCCCCGATTGGGACGGTATCTTATGAATTGTTCACCTTAGGCTAAGCACACAATCCGCTGGTGTTGCTTCAACTTAAACCCCCAAGAAAAAGAAAGAAAAAGAAGAAGAGAAAAAGACCGTATCGGTCTTGGGGATTCTCCCTGCCTTTCAACTTCTGCGGCTTAGCCCCGGGCGCCAGTGTCCAGCGCTGCCAGCAGCAGCACGGAGACGTTCGCTGCCAGGCCCTCGCCTCGGATCTCTTTCGATGGAAGGGTAAAAAGTGGGATGACATACACCAGGGATCTTTCCTGACCCCTGGCCATGTTTTCACATCGGAATCATCTCTAGGACACACACACACACACACAAACGCACGTGTTCAGACAATGCTGTGCGCCTTTGCCAAACATGGGCCTTTTTGACACGAAAGCTATGGGCATGCAAGGGCCCACTTGCAGGAAAGCAAGAACACCCAGCACTGCAGTCAAGTACTTAATTAACCCAAATCATCTTTGCCTGGGATTAGGCCAATTAGGCGCCTATCTTATTGCGTGAGAACCCTTGACCCTTCGACGACATACCATGTGCCAAATGTATGCTTGTGAGAGTCCAGTTGAACATGCAAAGGGTGGGTACGAACCCGAAAATGGATCGGAAGCAAAGCGCTCTTGCCGGTGGGTTCAAAAGGAGACCCATATAAGACCAACTGCATCGTGGGGCCCTAGTTAAGTTTTGAAAAGCACTGCGAAGGAAACTCCGCACCCAACCAAAATAAAGCACACCGACAAACATGCACAGGGTGGACTGACTGCATCTTTCTAGGAATAGTTTTGGATACGCATTTTGTGGACCTTGTGAACCCCAGTTTTTTCCCATTTCCATGCTCCAGAACTCTTGTGGCACCCTAGGGCGGTTCGCTTGGGATCTGGCCCTTCAGGTGCTCAAGCCTAAGCTGCCGGCAGCTTCCCTTCGACTTTGACGGAACCCGAGGGTAGACCTTCCAATGAAAGCATTCCGAAGAAGGATCCCCTAACAAAAACACACCAACTGCAAATTAACCAGGATGGAAAGCCACATTCTCATGAGTGGGAACTGCCATGCAAACACCCGATGAACTCCTTGGCGCAAATTCCGAGAAAAGCAACAAAAAACATGTGGTTGTGTCGGCGCCCCCCCTCTCGACCAGTTGGAGTTGCATGCGTAACGCTTTCGTAACGCTTTCTGAGGCGAGCACTTCATGTTTGGAGGGCAGCACCCGCCGATGTTGATCATCTTCGGCGCGTGCAGGTTGTCCACCTTCCCAAACCTCGCGCGCTATGGCTGGGGAAATCCAGGAGCCTTCCTGACAAGGCCCCCGGCGCCAGCAAAGTGAGCGGCGTAGTGTTGAAGTACATGGACACGATCCAAGAGGCCACGATCAATGTGATCTTGGCAATGTCAGGTGCCAGGGTATGTCCACCAACAATGTTTGGAATTGAGATTCACAGACTAGAAGGATTCGCCAAAAGCATTTGGGCTGGAAGATTTGGGCGTTGTCCAAGCAAAAGGGTTCAACCATGTGATCTCAGGGGAACTATAATATAAATAACTGGTCAACTAGTGTTGGTGTATTTAGGTTACCCTGGAAAATTAGATTCACCTTGGGCTCCTGACTGGCATGATCATGAAGATCAGGCGAATGGAAAGGCCTCTGATAGTTCCGCGCTTCCTGCAAGGGACCGGCAAAAAACCAGCTCAATATAACTGACGCCTGGGATAACACCCGATTGAATATGTCCCAGCTTCTTGCGCTTCAAACATCAATTCTTATGCACAAAGGAGAGTACATCCTTTTTGGTTGGATTCTAGAACAAAAGCCAAAAGCCAAAAGCAAACTTCTCTGATTCAGCTTTCCCCGACGGCCCTGGCGGCTCGCCTGCGGTATCTCTGCAGCCGCTCGGGATCAACCACCACATGGAAGTCCAGGAACATCATGCCATCCAAGAACCTGCCCCCACATGCGCACCTCTCCCGCATCGTGGGTCCATCTCCAAGAGAAGTGGAAACGGTTGCTCTTTGGTGTCCTTTTCCAACAACGAAAAATAGGCTCCCAAAAAAACACCCGCACCCAAACGTGCACCTCAAAACCACTACCCTCCCACCAACCAACATGGGACCTAAGGGAGGCCCCCTAGAACACAAGGTTCCCTCAAGGTCCCTGCGGCTGAGAAGCCTTACGGCCAGATTGTCCATGTCCACGATGATGAACACGCTGAAGATCTTCAGAAAGCAACCCACCTGCGAAACAACTTGATCGGCAACAATGGGAGTTGCACGTTCAGGCTCTGGTTCCCTGTTGAAACGTTCAAGCAAACGCGAATCATTTTGCTCCTGGCCCCTTCACACATAAAATGTCCACTTTGTTCAAGACCTGGGCGCCGTGCACAGGACGTGGCGCCCAGCACGATGGAGAGGGACCTCAACGACCGGCCCTTGAGGGTGCAAGAGGCATTGCAGTAGGAGGGGTTGGTGTAAGCCGGGACCAAGCGCTCATTCGGCGCTCATTCGCATAGCCTCTAGGTGCCTAAGCCTACGCGGATGTCTTCAGAAAGCGGTGCTCAAGTAAGTAGAGCACAAGCCACAGTCACGCACCCCACAATGAAAAAACACACACCTAAGCATACGGCAGAGCCACCCACGACACAACAGTCGCAGAGAATTTGTTTGAGGCGTTAAGAGGCTCAGGGGTGTGAAGAGGCTGAGAGGTGCACCGAGCGAAGCTCGAATAGAGGACAGGGAAAAGAGGCCTGGAAGCTCACGCCGATTCTTAGGAGCCGATTCTGAATAGAGGCTCAACGCCGTTTCTCTCTCTCTCTCTCTGCCGCACCATCGGTAAGCCGTCCACCAGAGGTGGGGTGCCAAGAGCCCGTTTCAAGCCGCTTCAGCAAGCAAACTTGCCACAGTGGCCTTCACTAAGGGCTTCCACGTAGTCTGCAAATCAGACCATTCACAAACGGCACGCCTAGCACGAAAAGACTGGAACTCACAACGAAACATCCCGCGTAAATTGCGGCGAAGATCTTCCGGCCACCCATGTATGCTTCTGGAATGTAGCAGACACAATATGGCACGCATAGTCAGCACACGTCATCAACAGGCAAGATTTTTGAAACCCAGCCCTCATGTCTGTCAACGCCGTTTGTCGTGTATAAATTTAATGAATCCCCGCTTCCGCTAACATATCTGCGTCAAATCGGCAGCGCCTTGCGCACAAAAGGCATTTGGAAGCGGGCCGGGCTATTCTGTCACCACCAGTCCGAGCTTCTTGCCTTTCAATGGCTCCAGTTGGGCGCCCAAATCACTGGGAACTGATCAAACGCGGGGTATCGATTTCGTCCTGTCATGCCATGCTCCTGCGGCCCCGGCACGAACAGAACGCAAAGGCCCGTAGAATACTGCAGTGATAAGGACCACCACCCCGCGACCTCAGCCATTGCTTCATGCAGGATTTGCTGGCCAGCCAACGTTTCCACCTGCTGACCTGCTGGGCCCTCCACCAAGCGCCAGGTGTCCATGAATCTTCCAACCTGCTGTGGGAGAAAATGAAAAAGCTTAGGAGAGCTGTGTTTGCTTGACCTGATGCCGTTTAGCTATGCACAGCCAAAGTCAAGCCCCCTCTAAATTGGCCAAAACAGATTGAGGGCGCAGGTCATGCAAGCCCTCGCACGAAGACGCTGAGCATGCAGCCAGCAGCGAGCGACATAGCTGCTGCGCGTTCTGCAACTCCGTGGAAACCTGGCAGGGAAGGTCTCTGGTATGGACCGATTCCTGATGATTCGATCTCCGTCCGGCCTTGAAAAGTGACACGGCGATGGAAATGACCCTGGCAGCCCATCCAGCCGCGACGCTGCCGCAACTTTCATGGTGCAGTCTAGTTGCTTCATCACATTCAGGCTCCTTAGCTCATGCAGTTTCTTCCCGAAACCGCCTTACGCTCTGAGATGCAAGAATGCACATCACACTGGCCACGGATCCAGTACGGCGAAATGGGTTGTTTCCACTTGCCCTCCTCGAACATGTTCTCGTTCTGGTAGGCCAAGAAGTACAGCACCTCCACACCAAGCGCAAATATTCTTCCAACTTGATAATCAGCTTGAACCTAGGTGCTCACGCGTTTTCAAGCTTCAACCTAAAGGTAAATGCTGGTTCACCTCAGGAAGTTGTGCTTGCTTGCGTTTATCCACATTTTTTCAAGAAAGGAAGAACACAAATTTGGGACCCGTCAAAAGTACAAAATAGAACTGTCAGTGCCTGAAAGCTGCAGGGTAGTGCGGTCGTAAGCAAAAACAAACATGCTTTGCTTCAGGGAGTGTTACTGCTTTGCTTGTTCCAGGAAAGTGAAAAGCGTAAAGCTCCCAAGATATGCTTCTAACTTCAGCCAGTCTTGTTTTTGCGTCATGGGTTCAAACATAACACTTGTTTACACTACGGTAAATATTAAATAAAACGAGAAGACATATTTACATATATGTGTGGCATAGATATGTCTATGTGTGCGTGTACACAAACACATATACACGTGTGCAACCAAATCACTAAACAAACAAGAAAGTAAAGGAATGCATGAATAAATGAATAAATGAACAAGTGAATAAAAGAATGAATGAATCAACGAATCAATGAATTAATGAATGAACGAACGAACGAACGAACGAATGAATGAATGAATGAATGAAAAAATGAATGAATGAATGAATGAATGAATGAATGAATGAATGAATGAATGAATGAATGAATGAATGAATGAATGAATGAATGAATGAACGAACGACTGAACGAATGAATGAATGAATAATGAATGAATGAATGAATGAATGAATGAATGAATGAATGAATGAATGAATGAATGAATGAATGAATGAATGAATGAATGAAATGAATGAATGAATGAATGAATGAATGAATGAATGAATGAATGAATGAATGAATGAATGAATGAATGAATGAATGAATGAATGAATGAATGAATGAATGAATGAATGAATGAATGAATGAATGAATGAATGAATGAATGGAAAGAATGAATGAATGAATGAATGAATGAATGAATGAATGAATGAATGAATGAATGAATGAATGAACGAATGAATGAATGAACGAACGAACGAACGAACGAACGAATGAATGAATGAATGAACGAACGAACGAACGAACGAATGAATGAATGAACGAATGAATGAATGAATGAATGAATGAACGAACGATTGAACGAATGAATGAATGAATGGAAAAAATGAATGAATGAATGAATGAATGAATGAATGAATGAATGAATGAATGAATGAATGAATAAATGAATGAATGAATGAATGAACGAATGAATGAATGAACGAACGAACGAACGAACAAACAAACGAACGAATCAATGAATGAATGAATGAATGAATGAATGAATGAATGAATGAATGAACGAACGAACGAACGAACGATTGAACGAATGAATGAATGAATGAATGAATGAATGAATGAATGAATGAATGAATGAATGAACGAACGAACGATTGAACGAATGAATGAATGAATGAATGAATGAATGAATGAATGAATGAATGAACGAATGAACGACTCAATGAATGAATCAATGAATGAATGAACGAATGAATGAATGAATGAATGAACGAACGAACGAACGAATGAATGAACGAATGAATGAACGAATGAATGAATGAACGACTCAATGAATGAATGAATGAATGAATGAATGAATGAATGAATGAATGAACGAACGAACGAACGAACGAATGAATGAACGAATGAATGAATGAATGAATGAACGAATGAATGTGACTTGAGCACGGGCTGAACGAAAGATAGCACGTGAGGGGCAGCTGACTGAGCCAACCTCTGTGCAACACTCATGTGCAACTTGTTCACCTTGAGTCTACCTTCTTAAAGGGACAGGTTTACTGCCTTGTTGCGCTCTTTAGACGATCTCTGCCAGCACTTGTGCGCTTTAGCCTTTCTATGCCAACGGTTCCCCGCCTGTCCGGTTTTCGAGTTTGCCAGGTTCCCCGTTGCGGACTGTCCCAGATATGATGGAAGGGCCAGTTTCGCCCGGATGAGAACAAAGAAGAGCCAACCAGAAAGCCAATCGGCCATCTTGACCTTGCAACGCAGGCAGCGCATCACGTCAGTAAGCAGGGCGAGCCAAAACGCTAAAGCAAAAAATAATCCAGGATAGCTATCGCATGGAAGAACCCCTTCCACCTCAGAATTCCTTTTGAACAACCGTCTTGCCTCGGGATTCATTGTGAACACATTCCCGCGTCCGGCAAACCACTTTGACTCTGAAGAAAGCCGGTCCAAACGCGGACCAGGGGGGGGAAGCGAAGGGGCGGGGAGGTGGGGGGGGGTGGTGGTGGGCGGGGTGTTTTCAATTATTTGTCAATCGTTTCATGCCAGAGGGCCGCACCGGGCTCCCCCCCCCCAATGATTGATAGATCACAGCGGTCGGGAAGTTGCTGCCCCTACTCTTGTTAAAGCAAGAAAGAACTCCAGGTTAGCTATCGCTACCTTTCGTGAGTATGAATATGAATATGAAATGAATAAATGAATAAATGAATATTTTTTGTACATACATACATCTATATCAATGCATATGTGTATGTCGTTTGCATTCGTTTGCATATGTGGGCCAGTCGTCCCCTGACAGATCTCAGGGCGCGGCTGCCAGCTGGGCTGTGGCGGAGATCACGGGCGAGCAGAACGCGGCCAAACACCCAATCTGGAGCGGGGAACCCGAGTCGCATCAGAATTCGGGCGCCAAGAGCCAAGGGAACCAAAAGGAAATCACCCAGTTGGGCCTCGAATTTAGGGACGAACCCCACGGAAGGAAACCAACCGTCGCCATCTACGTCGCCTTTTGCAATCGAGAAGGACTGTCACCCCCGCCTGAGGTGCCAGTGAGAAGGCATACAGGTCACGCTCCAGCTCGATTGCCTGTCAATGATCACAGCTGCACTGCTTTCATCCCAGCGACCCTGGCCTCAACTGGAGCAGCGCTTTCCGGCGAGCATTCAACCTGAGCTGGAAATGCTGCGGTTTTTCCCGGGCATTGTCAGGGCGGCTGAGGCAAGTTCAGGCAATGCTGGCATGCGCTCATCAGAGATGCTGTCACTTCCTTCAGCGCAAGCTCGCAAATTCTGCCCGACGATCCAAACACACGATTCATATCTGCACACACACACACACGCTTGCAAACAAGCCGCGCCCCCAGAATGTGAGCTTACTAGTTGGCGACATACCAGAAGCATCGGGCGTCGTCCACAGAAGCACTTCGCTCCTGAGTTGTCAACTTGCTACATTGAAAGCTCTTGAGGGGGAACTAAGCAGATTGCCGAAGCCGCAAGCCCGCCTCAACAGATCTTGCGTCTCTGCCTTTTTGGGCTGACTCAGCGGGAGCCTGCGCATCGAAGCTTTCGAGCTTGGACTCGCTCACGACAGCCAACTGAGAGCGAAACGCGGAGGGCTTGTTGTCAATGACCTCCACTTCGCCTACCAGGAATGTACGCTAAGCATCATGTGGGAGGCGTGCCGGTTGGAAAAAAGTTGATGGACCCCGGACCCAGATTGAAAGACCAAGAAAAGAGCGCCATTGCATTCTGTCTGTGTTTGCACATGCCCGTGAACAAATCCAATAAAAAATCATAAAAGCCTATCTGATGTTTAGAGAGGTTGTGTACACATGTGCACATATTCATGTATATATAATATATTATATATATAGATATAGATACGTAGATATGTGTGCGTATTGATGTCACCCTCGAGCCATTTCAGCCGCAGCTTAATCAACATGCACTTGTCAACTTGCGCCGTGGCTCCAAATAGGTCAACCCCGTGTGTACCAGCGAATTTTGCGAAGTACAGGCTGCCCCTTTGAAAAACCGTGTGTGTGTGTGTGTGTGTGTGTGTGTGTGTGTGTGTGTGTGTGTGTGTGTGTGTGTGTGTGTGTGTGTGTGTGTGTGTGTGTGTGTGTGTGTGTGTGTGTGTGTGTGTGTGTGTGTGTGTGTGTGTGTGTGTGTGTGTGTGTGTGTGTGTGTGTGTGTGTGTGTGTGTGTGTGTGTGTGTGTGTGTGTGTGTGTGTGTGTGTGTGTGTGTGTGTGTGTGTGTGTGTGTGTGTGTGTGTGTGTGTGTGTGTGTGTGTGTGTGTGTGTGTGTGTGTGTGTGTGTGTGTGTGTGTGTGTGTGTGTGTGTGTGTGTGTGTGTGTGTGTGTGTGTGTGTGTGTGTGTGTGTGTGTGTGTGTGTGTGTGTGTGTGTGTGTGTGTGTGTGTGTGTGTGTGTGTGTGTGTGTGTGTGTGTGTGTGTGTGTGTGTGTGTGTGTGTGTGTGTGTGTGTGTGTGTGTGTGTGTGTGTGTGTGTGTGTGTGTGTGTGTGTGTGTGTGTGTGTGTGTGTGTGTGTGTGTGTGTGTGTGTGTGTGTGTGTGTGTGTGTGTGTGTGTGTGTGTGTGTGTGTGTGTGTGTGTGTGTGTGTGTGTGTGTGTGTGTGTGTGTGTGTGTGTGTGTGTGTGTGTGTGTGTGTGTGTGTGTGTGTGTGTGTGTGTGTGTGTGTGTGTGTGTGTGTGTGTGTGTGTGTGTGTGTGTGTGTGTGTGCGTGTGTGATGCTCGGCTTGATGGCTCCAACTTTTTGGCAGCAGTCCTTGCCAAAAGTCCTAGGCGCTCCGCTGAAAAGATCAGATGTTGTGCCCAGCCAGCGTGATGCCCAAAGCGATCCCGGAAGAGATCGGACACTTCTTGGTGGAGCCTCGGGGTCAACGGGCCAGCCAGCTTCTTGGCGAGATTCGGGGGGGCAAACCGCCCGGCTGCGCGAGCGACATGCACATCCACCGGGACTGCATTGTGGAAGCCGAGGCCATAAAGTGCAACACAGGCGGCCACTTTGGGACCCACGCCAGGGAACTTCCGCAACTCCTTCTCAGCCTCATGGCGGGAGCTGCTTTTCAACCCCTCCAAGTCTTCCACCAGCAAGCGTTCCGCAGTGGCCGCCACGAACCGAGCACGATAGCCAAGACCCAGACTTTTCAACTCCTCCTCCCCCGCGTTGGCCAACGCCTCTACCGGTGGAAAGGAGCAAAGGCGGCGGCAAGAAACAAACTCCTGCACGTGCGTGGGGATCTGTCGGCGGCCCCCTTGGCGCAAGATCTGCTCACCGACATCTTCGGGCCAATTTGCCAAAGGCCTCCCGTACCTCCGCCGCAGCCTGTCCAACACAAGCGTGATCCTGGCCACGTTGTTGTTCGCGGAGCAGATGAAGCTCACCAATGCTTCGGCCGGGTCTTGCAGCAAAACACGTGCACCGGGCAAAGCTCGACCAGCCTCCTCGGCCATTACATCATGAGCCCACTCGGCATGCAGCTCCGAGAGACGAGGGCCCCCAACGTTCAGATACTCACGGATGCGCTGGGGGCACATGTGCCCACCGATGCAGCTGATCAAGGTGGTGTCCTTTTCACTCCGGAGCTTCAGGCAGCAGCCGCCAACAAACCCGAGCCACTCCCGTGAGCTCACGCGTTTCCAGTGAAAGCACTGCCCTGTTTCCAGGGAAGCTCCCGCCCGGAACTCCTTGCTAGGTATTTCTAAGTCCACCCAGGTGGAGTCATCAGAAGCCATGGCAGGTCAATCCGCCCCGCCTTTCACGATCCTCCCCTGTGAGTGCGAAAAAGATCGCACAAGAACATGCCTCCACTGCGCGTTTATCAAGGTTTCACAAGAGCCATCACCAGAACCTGGCCTTAAAGGAGCCAGCCCAAAACAAAAGCAAGGGCAGTTGCCTCTATGGCTGGGAAAGTCCCGTTTCAGCCTTCAAGTTCCCCGGCTCTGGCGTTGGCCCACATCTAGACAAACTTGCTGACTCAAGGTCCAGGAGCCCTGGCATGACTTAAGCTTTCCCCACGTGCCTTGCAAGTGGTCCAGCAGGTCCTGACTTTCAGCGAGGTGTCAACTCGACGCAGTGCAATGAGTGTACCCGCCCAGACCTCCACTCTGGATCCAGGCGACCTTTGTCGAGATCCCGTCGGTGTTTCCCGCGCTTTTGAGTCAGGCGACATGTCGGAGGGCCTGGCCAGTTGGCACAGAGCTGTTGGAAACCCTTGCTTGGCATCATCTACATTATGTCTACATTGGTTCCGCTGAGCTTGGCACGACTGACGCCACATCAGTTCCATGCCTTGCACTGCCAACCCTCAAACTAACTGGGCGATCCAAGCTCCCAGGGCTCGGGACAGCTTAAACCGAATTTAAGCCGGGAATGCTGTCGAGCCGCTCGGGTGGCGCGGCGCCGCGCTGACTGCGCTGCCGTTGCTGCCACCACTCAGCAGCTGGTAGCGGGTCTGGCGCGGCTTGGCGGCCGAAAACGTGCCCTGAACGAGGACGGTCCTTGGGCTGAGGGGACCGCGAGGGCTGCAGCCACCACCTCAGGATACCGGAGCAGCGCCCAAAGCAAGCCGGCTGAGCAGAGTGGAGCATAGCAAACAAAGGGCAAAGCAAAGTAAGCCTGGCACGGATAAGGTTGTAAGGTCAGATTGGGTTGACTTGGGGCTGATTTATGCTAGGTGCTCGGCTGGCTTAGCAGTTGCCCAAGCCGACCTAGAGTCAACCTTAAACCTACTAGTACCTAACGGCATTCTAGATATGAGCCCTTTGCCGAGCCCAAATGAACCTCCAACAAACCCAAGAGCCCATAAAGATCTCAGCAAGGCCAACACTCACCCCAAACCTGCAGCTGAGCAACTCTCCACTGCCGCCAAATCAAAGCCAATAGACGCTGGGGATGTGGCCGACCAACCCCGAACAACTAACCAACCAACAGCAAGTAAAGGGGATGCTGGGGAAGCCCCGGCAGGGGACCCTCCAAAACCCGCGCAGCGACCAAGCACCCGGCGGGGTATCCAGGCTCACCGACCTCTCCGGCCGGGCGTCGGCCAAGGAGGCCAGCGAGGCCGGCAGCGAGGCCCGGGAGCGCCAGCCCGAGGGGTCCTGCGGAAGACCTCTTTTTCACGCGCAATGCGCGTATGGTTTCTTGTTTTTCGTAGGCGCGCATTTTACAATTGCATGCAAGTAACTGCAAGTATGCAAGTTCGTACGCCTGTAGGTATGTCGGCATGTAGGTATGCGTGTAGCTGGGCACGAGTATAGACAGGTATGTAAGTGTAGATATGCAGGTACGCGTGTCTGCTCGTGTGGTTGTGTTCGGTGTGTGAACATGTACCCTCAGCCCGCGGCAAGTCACAGACGGGGCGCAAGCTTCTGGAATTTGAACAGAACGAACAACAAACCGACGGTCACGCTGATTCGATGGGACTCCACTCAGACGCAGACAGTTGGGCCGGTTGCCTGCGGGAATGCTTTTCCCACGGGCTGCGGGAACGATTCGACTTTACACAAGCTTACTACACAGTAAAGTTATAGAATTAATTGTGAGATTTGTGTGTGTGTGCGTCCTTTCTTGCAGGCGCAGGCCATGGCTTCACTACCAAACCATCTTAGAAGCACGGCAACAAGAAATGCTCCATCGGGATCATCGGTATGGCAATGTTACGGTGTCCTAAAACAAACATCTGTCCAAGTTTACTGCCTGCACAGTACATGAAGGTACAAGAAACACAATCGGCATCCTGGGGCAGCGGGTCCCCTCGCTCCTGGCCGACACCAATCTCTTTACAAGTGTGCGCATTTCGGTCTCCGTGCCTCGCCCTCCATCTCAGGAACACGACTGTAGCTTGCCTCTGCGAGAAAGGCTGTCAATCTTGCCTACGTTTATTCCGACAATTGCAAACCCTGGTCAAATCACAGAGGCCTTAGAGGCGACGGCTTCTGTGAATGAGTGTGCACGGATGGCACTTGGCCCGGACCTCAGGGCAATCCAAGCGCTGCGAGGCGCTCAGGCTTTGAGGCCAAGGCGTGATGCGTAGCCACGCTTGCCCGCGGGCAAAGCATGCGGTCGGTAGTTGCCGTTCTATTGAGTGATTCTTTGAACTTGGAAGCCGCTGCGGCTATTCCAGCTTCACAGCGAAGTACCGCGGGGTAATACACCCGCTGTCTGAATGGCTGCCGGCCAGCTGATCTGGAGAATCCACCAAGCGATGCACTCTGAGGCAGCGGAATCCACACGTGGGCATCCAAAACAAACTCTAGAGCTGAATTAAAGCTGCATGACCTCCAGCTACCTGCAACACTGCAGAAGGCAAAACCAGTTCCTGCCTAGCACAGCACCTCACCTGGCAGCGGGTGCATCACAGTGTGTCACACCCACGCATGGCCCCCGAAGCTTTCCAGTTGAGGGCAGGCGGCCTTTTTCCTTCGCTTCCAAAGTGGCAGCTCCGGGAAACGCTCTGAGCATCTAAGATATCGAAAACCTTGCTGCCTGCGCACTCTCTCGCTCTCCCTCTCACTGGGGCACCCACTGCACCTTCTTGGCGAAGCCCTTGCCATCCAGTAGCAGCCGCACGCTGTAGCGGCTCCCAGCTGTAGCCTTTGACATCTTGAAGTCGAAGCCTTCGCAGCGCCATTTGGCGTCGGGGCCCTGGACCATCACACCTCCCTGCGGGCATCTTTGCTGCACGTCCCCCGCATGCAAGACCCCGGCGCCCTGCTCATCCAGGAAGACTTGGAACGCCTCAGGCCCCGAAGCATCCACCAAGCTGTCGAAGAAGTTCTCCTCAGATGGTGGTCTTTGAGGAAATTGAGGGAACGACCGACCCCCGTTGGCTGTTCAAGGATATGTTTTACGTACTATTTTCTTCACCAATCCATGGAGCACAAGACAACACCAGCTCTCCTCCTCATGCCACCTCATCTCCTCCGGCTGCCAGCCATTCCACGTGCCAGCAATGAAATAACTCCGTCTGCGCGGAGCCAGCGGTGCCACCTCCACCACGTTGCATCTTGCGGCCTTCTTCTCCAACAACCTGTGGGCCAAATGCCGCTGGGGTCCGTTTTTCCGAGACAACAACCAACCTTCCCGGTCCGCCGAGTGGCTGGGTGCGCTTTTCTAGGATCTTTGCCCGGCGCAGGGCTGTTCTCTCATCCTTGCTCCCTTGGTCTACCGGAGCGATAGAATGCTTTGCGACTTCCAGATTGGTCTCGTGCAAGACGGCGCTGCCCATGTCGTTGTCCAGTCTGACCTGGCAGCTGGCCAGCGAAAAGGTTGATTCACAAACCGTTGCACGCTTGCGTGGGGACCTCTGCCCATTTTCTGATTTCTCTCTTTTTCAAAATGTCAACCCGCGATTGCCCATCAGCACATTGAATCCCGCCTTCCACTTGCCTTCGCCGAAGCTGGCCTCCAGTGTTCCGGTCAAGCCGCTCTTTCCACGCACCCCAGTGAGGGCGATCCTCAGAAAAACAAGACTGCCCTGCGCCCAGCTGCCTTACATGGCACACTGCGTTCCCATCTGGCACGGCCCAAACACGTCTCGCCAAACAAAAAGGAAGTGAACGACCAACTTGCCAAGCTACCTGCCGCCAACCAGCAGGTCAGCCCGGGGCTTGCCTTTGCAGCACTGTCAAAGCTCTCGCATGCGAAGAATTGCCCACCGTGCATCTGCTATTCGGGGCAGATCTTCCAAACCTGCCAAGGGCTAGGGGCGGTGCCCTCGGTCAGCAGTGGCCACCCGCCCAGCGGCGAAGTCTCCGGCAAATTTCCGGGCACCGGGCCTCAAGGGTATCGCAACAGGCGAACCCTCCCCCCAATCCCCCCACACGAGATGCAAACCGGTCCGCGCCACTGAGATCAGCGCGGCGGTCCACGACAGACACATTTTGCAAGGCCTACCCACCCCCCGAACTTTCAGGTTTGACGTCTGGGAGGGTAAAATTCCTGCAACTACCTCGCAAGCTTCGAAATCTGAGCCCGGGGCTTCTCGATCCCGGGCTTTGGAATGCTCGCTGAAGTCCTAACCCAGCAGTGGGTGCTCATGCGACAGCCCGCATCTCTCTGCCGAGCGGCCAGGGAGGTTTCAGCGGCTTTGGCCCCCTGCTCTTCCAACTCCTGCGCGGCATGTAAAATGTCAGCCACATTTGCGTCTGGCGAGTTGCGTTCACAATTGAGGGCTCCCAACACAAACTATTCCCTTTGCCTTCCATCCTGCGGTGATCAAACAGATCAAAAGACGTCAGATTTTGAGGCACGCCCCACGCGGGCACGCTTCGGCCGCACGACGTGGGAATCGGCGGTCCAGCTTGATGCTGCCGGCATACGGGGCCAGGATGGCTTGCCGGGTGGCTTCGTCGAACTTGGAGGGCATCACTAGCGGCGGGGCGCTCATTCTGGCGCAAACATACCTCACAGCCTGGCACGGCTTTGCCATGGCATGGCGCACCCCCAGACAATCTTCACATTCAGAAGCAGAGTTGGAGCGATCCAGGCCTTTGTGGCATCTTCCTCAGGTGGCACACTTGGAGCTTGAAGCTTCATGCAATGAAACAGAACAAGCCAGGGCGGAGCTCAAACTCCAATGCCTCTGAAACCTCAGACAAAGCTCGATGGTCAGAAGGGCATCTTCTTCTTTGAGGAGCACCTAAGAATCGATGGGAGCATGGCCCTGGCCCAGGCAGTCGATGAGTGTCATCGTGTGGGCATCTCAGCGCGGCACGTCCTCATCTCCGAAGGCCCTCCAGCGCATGCCGACTCCGCCGCCGACAGCGCCCCACATGATCACGGAAGAGTCAAGCCTGCCCCGCGCAGGATATGCACAGCCCATGTCTTGCATCATGCTGGAACCCCCCAAAACAAGCCATAAACATTCTAATTTGCAGTCAGGAATCTCCGGACGATTTCTGTAGGGCAACAAGTCCACCACCGCATTGGCAGCTACATAGTTGCCTGGGCATCTATTGCGCGACCATGGCTAGTTTCGAGCAATTCCAGAGGGAAGCCATGCTTTCAAGAATCTGGCAAAGTTGGTTTTGGAAAAACACCGCTCCATCAGCTCCGCGCCTTGGCCAAAGTTACCCATCATCGTACTGCCCGCAGAGAACCCCACAAACTTCATCAACTTCATCGTGGTGTAGTGTGTCGGCCCTAGGACCTGTCGCGGACCTGTGTCAGCTGCTACCACCTGGCCAAAGATCGATGCCTCTGTCTCAAAACTATGAGGATGAGAAACGCAAGTGATGTTTCCGCTCGCCTTTCCAATGCACCTGCCAGACCAGGGGCCACAGACCCTACCCAAACCTTTCCGGCCTCGGCCTCCTTCTTTGCGGCCTGCGCCTGTGCCTCGTACTCCTTGGCCATCTGGGCCTCCCCAATGCTCGCCTCCGTCGCGTGTCCGAGATCTTGGCGGCGGGCAGGGTGTGCGTAATTCACGGCCCTGGGATCACGGAGCATGGCCGCCTGCACGATGTCTAAGTCAGCTTGGAAGTTGGAGCTCATGAACCTGAGAGTTGCCCCGTTTCTCTTGGCGGCCTCCATGGCAAACTCCTTGCCAGCTTGTGCCATGGGTTCCCAAGACTGCTTGATCGCTTTGCGGGGGACCCTCTTGGTATCAAAATAGGACGATCCCCAAACCTCAACCCACAGTGAAACAATACAACAAGAGAACCACCGCCATTTGCCATAAGGATCCTGCCATAAGAACCACCACCACTATCCCCATCCTTTTGAGACAGCATGACACGGCCATTTTTGACCGGTCCTTGTCGGCCCGCAGCTCCTCCGCCGCGAACTTGTAGGCTGCAGCGTCATGGATGACCATCTCCAGTACCAGGGCCTGGTCCGACTGCAAGGTGCTGCTGGCGCCCATCAGTGCGGACCCATAGCCCGCCTCAATAATTCGGGACCTTCCTCCAAGAGTCTAAAAACATGCGGCCATGGGTCAAAATCCCGTACCCCCAGTGCAATGGCTGGTGCACCTACCCCAAAATGGTACCGTTGGCTTTGACCCACACCCATGTGTGAGTGTGTGTGTGCCTCATCTCTCACTGCCAAACATATGTCCAAAAAGGCAAAACGGGTTTGTCCAATATTTGGGCCCCAAAAGGGTGTTTTTCTTTTTGGCCTCCCTGTAAACCTACCCAAACATGTGCCAATTCATGAAACTCCAAATGTTTGGGTAAGAAATCCCGTTGTCACCCTGCGTTTCCGCGGCCAAACGGCGCCGCGCACCGCCCGCCTTGGCCGCATCCAGCAGGAAGTTTTTGTCCCCGCGGAAGGCCTCCGCGTGCTTCAGCGCCGCCCCGTGCCGACCCACCGCCCGCAGCACGAAGTCCCGGCTGGACCGCAGCTCCGGGGCCGCGTCCGCGAAGGCCTCAGAGCACATGGGAAGGATCTTATTCGGATTTCGGTCGGCATCAGTTCGCGGGGATGTCCACCAAGCACTTGTGAGGCGGGTGCACAGCATTGGATGAAGATCCCCTATCAATAAACTTTGCGGGGAAGGGGTTAAGGGCTCCCGGACAGGGGGGGTTGGGAAATACTAGCAATCACACGGCACACTATGTTCCTGGATGTGGATGTGTAAGGTATTTCCCATTTTGGTGCTGGAGCAACATCCCATGCCGGTGTGCGGACCTCGATGCAAGTGCCACCTTGATCTTAGGTCAAGTTTTGCGCGCATTCCTTTTTCAAAGGGTCCGAGCCCCGCTTGAAGCCCCCGCCTCCCTGACTTCCCCAGAACATAGGCAAAGGTTTGGGGCATCGGGTTGGATCCCAAATTGTTCGCTCACCCGACCCACTTGCCTCCCCAAAGAAGGCGACGGCGGCGAGGACCAGCTCCGGGTCCTTCAAGCCAAGGAAACTCGCCCGTGCTGCGCATGCCAAAACCACTAGTTGTCCTGTTGGTTAATCCCCCCAACAAAAAAAAAAGAACCCAAAGGGGGGGGGAAGAAAGGAAGAAGCTCCTGCCGCAGCTCGGGGCTCACGAACTTCAGGGCGCGGCCCTGGGACGCCAAGATGGCGCCCTCCACCACCCCGCGGTCCGCCTTGATCCTCACATGCGGCGTCGGGGGCTCACTGACGATTCCATTTGGGATGGGCCAAGGAGCCAAACAGGGGTCAGCTAAAATGGTTGGTTTCCTTTGACGTCGCTTTAAAGACCAAGCACAAGAGGGTCCACCATTTTGAGAACGCTGACCCTGAGTTGTCAAGTTCCAGCTAGACCCACACTTGGGCGTTTGCACTTAATCCCAAGTTTGAGTCCCCAAGTGAAAAGCATCTTTACCCGCGCACCACCATACATGGAAGTGCACAGGCCCTGCTTGCAATCCTACCTTCCTGGCGAAAAGCTGTGGGAGGGTAGGCCCCCAAACCTAATACCCCAAAGACAAGGGGTTGCCTTGTTGTGAGGGTGGCTGTTTTGTGGTTGCGTTCAATTCAAAGGGAAACTGAAGGGAAATGGAAGCCGGAGAGGGAGAGGGAGAGGGAGAGGGAGAGGGAGAGGGAAATGGAGAGGGAGAGAGAGATAGGGAGAGCCAACAGCAAACGCGGAAGGAAAGCTTGGATTCCGCCCCAGCCCATCTGTTTGCAGATCTACACAGACATGTCGAAAGCTATCCCAAAGTCCAAAAGCCTGACCAACCGAACTGAGCAGCTCTGCCGGGGCGTCCGCCAGGACCTGCCAGTCCTTCCTCACTGCAGCGGACCACATGCCCCAACGCCAGCTTCGGGGGCCCAGCGCCTCCGACTCCTTCAAGGGCGTGTAATTGGTGGAGTTGTTTCTTGTTGTCTTTCTGCGGGTTGGTTTAGGAGACCCAAAGGAAAACAGGGATTTTGACACGTACCCAGCTGGAAATCATTGAGCCCCTACCGATTACACCATTGTCCATTTACCACCCAAGAGATGCGGACACTCCCTGTACATACAAGATGCGGTGGGAATGGACCACTCCTCGTTGGCGATGCTCTGCTGCTTGGCCGCCTCGATGCCACTGTATGCCACACTGGCAGCTGCCAGCTGGGACAGGTCCACGTCCGCCTCCTCCCCTTGGTTCTTCTGCAGCGTGTTGTACGCGCGCCGCAGCTCGGCCTCTTCGTGTGCCGGCAGGTCATTGATCATCTTGTACTCCTTGCGGAGTTTGTCGGCACTCTTGTTGTGCGTGGCGCAGGCGATCTTGGCGTTCACCAGGAAGTCCAAGCTTGGGATCCCCAGCGTGGTAGCTGCGAAGCCAAGCTCGAAAAGGGCATCGTTGTCGATGTTCACGAAGCTGCAATCCCAGCGAGATGCGCCGCAATCTCTCAAGTCATCACTCGGAAGCGGGGTCATGATCTCACTTACGGAGTGATCCCGGTGATGCTTCAAGTAGTCGCACACTTTGGTCAACGTGCTTCTCTTAATCTCAAATTTCAACGTGTGGTCGCAGCCATGTTCCAGCCTTGCCAACAGCGTGCAAGCATTACCCCAAGCATGCATTCGCGGAAACCCAGCCAAGTAGGCAAGCTATGCATGCTGTTGAAAATGTTGGCGGTCATGTCTGATAGAGAGTGAGCATGTCCGCGCAAAACGGGGGCCGGGACCTCAGACATGCTTGCACTTGCTGCCGGGCAGCAGGAGGTTGCGGACACGGCCGGCCAAGCATGCAGCTTCAGCAGGAAGCTCAAACTCATTTCCTGCAGTCCAACGTGCGACCAGTGTTCATGTGTGTTGAGACCATACTGTTGGATATTCAGATGCGATTGCCCCTAGCAATGCAAAAGGTTTTAGTCTATCGGCTCAACTGTCTTTGACAAACGCGGGCGCCCAAGCACCAGGCCTTCCAAGCATTCCAGCCGCACACTCTTTCCTCGAAGTTCAGATGGGCAAGATGGGCCTCCTCGTCCAAATGTCAGAAGCCCTGGGCACCGAGCAACTGACCGTAACCCACAAACCGTCACAAACCTGCCTCGTTTGATGAAAGAGCCTTCCCATTTAAGAACGAGGTTTTTGAGCCACACCCATCTCCCCTTCATCCTCTGGCATGGGAATGCGGGCCCTGCCTTGCACTTCATATATCTCGCCAGCCATGCCTTCACGCAGGCCTCCTGCCCTTCATGGCCTGGCCCTTGAGCCAGCTCTGCAAAAAGCAATATGGCAATATGCAATTCCCGAATGTCTGCATGCAAATTCACATGCTGCCCTTGCCTTTGCTGCCATGCAATGCAGCTATAGTTTAACGGTTTAACTGTAACTGTAGCAGGTAGATGCCCTCAGTGCGAGCGTCCGCTCCCTTCGCAACATCCGTCTGCCGGTGCCTCGCAGTCCGAGGTCCTCGCCGCGACCGCAAACTCGTCGTTTTGCCACCTGACGGTGGTCACACCCACACCCAAGCACACCGAGCCAGTCGCAGGCCACAAGTCAAGGGGCCTGGAGCGTTCCCAAGGCAGCTACTCAGCTAGAACGTCTCAAAAGGCAATCCTGACACTCGAAGTTGCAGCTTGCACTCCTTGACTGCGTCCATATGTTCGACATGGCGCTCCTGCTGCCACCGCCGCATCTTCTTCTTTGCCCTCGCGAGAAACTGAAAAAAGCTAACATGCAGGCGAAACCCTAACAAGCATTCCAAGGTCCTGCACAACTTCCTCCTTCCGGCTTGACCCACCACCCGGAAATTCCAGCACCCCTTCATCTACAAGAGCGGAACTCGGATACCTTTCCTCTTCACCTCCACTACCCTGTCTCTCCGACTGCCGCGAAGACATGTTGTGAGCGCCCATGGCCGGGTATGCTGCGCTGGAACGCGCTACTGCGTTCTCTGTCCGGTTCTGGGCTGCTTGTGCTTTTTCCTTGTCAGACTTGCGTCTCTCGACTTCTGGCTGCAGTGGTGAAGATCGACCTGGCTCACTTGCCTGGACTGCTTCCGTGTCTGTTGGCTTCTGGGCTGTTTGGACCTCTTCCTTGTCCGACTTGGGCTTCTCCGCTCCGGCTTCCACTGTTGCAAATCGACCTGGCTCACTTGCTTCCGTCTCTGTCGGCTTCTGGGCTGCCTGTACCTCTTCCTTGTCCGACTTGGGCTTCTCCGCTCCGGCCTCCACTGCTGCAGATCGACCTGGCTCACTTGCTTCCGTCTCTGTCGGCTTCTGGGATGCCTGTACCTCTTCCTTGTCCGACTTGGGCTTCTCCGCTCCGGCCTCCACTGCTGCAGATCGACCTGGCTCACTTGCTTTCGTCTCGGTCGGCTTCTGGGCTGCCTGTACCTCTTCCTTGTCCGACTTGGGCTTCTCTGCTCCGGCCTCCACTGCTGCAGATCGACCTGGCTCACTTGCCTGGACTGCTTCCGTGTCTGTTGGCTTCTGGGCTGTTTGGACCTCTTCCTTGTCCGACTTGGGCTTCTCCGCTCCGGCCTGCACTGTTGCAGATCGACCTGGCTCACTTGCTTCCGTCTCTGTCGTCTTCTGGGCTGCCTGTACCTCTTCCTTGTCCGACTTGGGCTTCTCCGCTCCGGCCTCCACTGCTGCAGATCGACCTGGCTCACTTGCTTCCGTGTCTGTCGTCTTCTGGGCTGCCTGTACCTCTTCCTTGTCCGACTTGGGCTTCTCCGCTCCGGCCTCCACTGCTGCAGATCGACCTGGCTCACTTGCCTGGACTGCTTCGGTCTCTGTCGCCTTCTGGGCTGCCTGTACCTCCCCCTTGCCAGACTTGGGCTTTATCTCTGTCACGTCGCTTTTGTGCTGCACACCTTCTTGTTGCACTGCCTCTGCATTTAGCTGGTTTGCCTCCGTTCGCTCCTCCCCAACCCGTTCGTCGGACGCGCCAGCTGCTTCATCCTGGGCGCACGCAACCCGAGCTCTCCAAGGCGTCAAACCCACGTCTAAGCTCCCCCGCCACACGATTCCTGCAAAGCGTCGCTAGGGCCCAGGGCTTGCTCTAAAAAACTGGAGGCCCTCATGCTTTCCTTTTAATGCCAACGCGAGAAAAATAGAAAGGCCGGGCCGATGGATTAAGGTTTGTTTTTGAAGGGCCGTTTGTTTTGGAGGTGAAAGCCTGACCACAGGAAGCGGATGGCAAGGCATGACCTTTGCAAAGTCCAAGCCTCTTCGCCTTTCTCTTCTCTTTACGCTGGCCTTGCCAAGACCCTGCAAAAGCTGCCCCTTCGCCCGTATTTTCCCCCTTGGGCCCTCAACAAGGCCCACTGGCATGCGAAAGAGCCCACGCGGAAGCCACAGTCGACCCTAATTGAGGTGACCACTTGCCGATTTGCCAGTGTCGAAGGCGGGGCCTTCAAGCACGCATGACCAAGACTTTGGACACCCTGCTGAAACAAGGCATTCGCGGCAAATCTGGACATCAACACCAAAGTCTGAAAGCCGCAATGGTGCAAAGAAACAACACGTTTACTACTTGAGTCACGAAATAACACAGGAAGATGGGACGCCCCACAGTGCAAGTGTGGCCCAAAGCCGAAAACTCCTATCAACTGTCCTGGCCACCTAAGCCCGCCGCGGGGCTGCTTGTGCACGCTGAGGACTGCCGGCTTTGGATCCTGGCATGCTAGCTATTGCAGGCCGCACCTTCGCGCAGTACCACTCGTGCTCGCGGCCAATGCCTCATCAGCCTCTGGCTTGCCTTGGGCGGGCGTCACGGGGTCATGCCTCACATGTGCCTTGGTCAAACTCATTTTCCCTTGCAATGGTTGTCTGAATTCCCCTTGAATCCATGACTGGTCATACTATCTCCAAGGCTGTTCTGACCATGCCTCAAATGCACTTTCTCTCCGCACGGCTCAAGAGCTCCGCTCTTTGGCGCCAAAAAACTGAGGGCTGATGCTTACCCATCCAGGAAGTGCTGCAGGCTGTGGGGGTCCAGCGCTTCAAGACCGGTCCTCTTCCCATACAAGCGTTGCTGCAGGGGCAGGAAGCCTGCAGAAATCAGGTCCCCGACGATGCGGTGCACCTGGCTCTTGCTCAATGGCCCCACCCGCAACCTGATACGCCTCCAACATAGACGCCTCTCCAGGCGTTTAGTCTGATTGCATCCGAAACCGCTGCCCCATGCAAACCGCCCGCCCGCTTACCGGTCCTGCTTCCCGCCCAAGCGCCTGCAATTGGGGCAGCTCCAGGGCTGCCAGGTACCGGCCCAAGTCCGGCAGGCCGCCCGGGTTGAAGGCATGGACTGCGTGTAGTCCACCTTGCCTCAGCGGGTCCCTTGGGCTCTCGAGCCGACGGGCCAAAGTGCCCTCGTGCAGGCACTGGCAAAGTTGCTCCTTCTGCTAATGGGACATGAAAAAATGGGTGGCCATGGGTGGCCCCAAATGGAAAAACAAAGAGGAACTGTTGACATCACACGCCACATCCATCCCGAGACGCCTTCCGCAGAGCGCTGCTACGGCGCCCCCCAAGGAATGGCCCGTGGCGGTGACCCTGGCGCTGTCGTGGGCGAGGCGCTGCTCCTGCAACGCCACCAGGGACTCCTCTGCGCGGGTCCTGGGGAAGAACCAGCCAGAGGTCTTACTTGGGATGCCCCATTTGCGCCTTTTCGGGCCAAGGAAACCAGTTTGCTTTGTTTTGAGACTTAACAATGCTGACCTACGTTTCGGGTTGGGAGCACTAGAGGGCTCACCCCCACAAAGGCTTATCCAAGCACAACCAATACAGAGTTGTTTTTGCTCAGTTGGCTCCTTGGATCTCAGACCAAAGAGGTGGGTTTGCTTCTCCCTCAGCATGGATGGTGTTCCTCTTTGGTTTTCGAGCCGCATAAGGGAATCGCGCCCGCGTGCCACGGTGCAATGGCCTTTTCAGTCCTCTACCCAAATGGAGTTGGGCATTTGCGTAACTATTTGCTGCCGCTTTAAGCGGTATTCCCGAGCAGGCTAGCCAGTAAGCAACCAACGAAGAAGAAAACCAAGCCCAAGCAACAAATTACAGCAGTCCACTGAGATGGTGTCGTGTAAAAATGAGCTAGTGGGAGCAACAGAATGCAGGGGAGCTGACACATGCCCGCCTCAGTACGGCCTCACTGCCCAAAGCAATGCATGTGTCATGGACCAAGTCCATGGGGTCAGGCAAGTGAGTCCCCCGCTCCGCCATCACAAGGTGCCCGCCATGCGACGGGCAGTACCAGAACCCACGACGCAGGTCGCCTCCCACGTAGGTGTACCATAGGTCCCCGGGCAAGGTGCAGCCGTCCTTCTCCATGCTGGACACTCGCAAGCCACTGCGCTCAGAGGGTGCGAAGTACACGCTCCGCGCTAGGACGGCATGGAAGTGTGCATCAGAAGTACTGGGACCCTCCCCAAAGGGCAAGGCTCTGAAACGCACAAAGGGCTGACACCTGTGGCTGATCATCTCGGCCGTGGCAGCGGCTGCCGTCAAACCAACCTTCACCGCTGCCTCGCGCATGCGGTCTTTGGCCTTCCGCTTCAAGGCGTGCTTCACCACATGGCCCACCGCCAGCGCCCCTTTGCCGCCGGAGGAGTCAGCCACCAGCCTGCCGAGGGCCAGCACCGTGCCCAGCTTGTCGCCCTGCCGCGCGGACTGCGCTGCGTCCACCGCCGGGCCCAGCACGGGCAAGAAGCTCACGGCGCTGCGGAGGCTGCGGAGGCTGCGGAGGTGCCGTGCCACCACCATGGCTGGACCAAAGAGAGGGCCCCACAAGCTCGTGCCGAGCCGGCTTGCACCAAGGCATCCCATCCCCACTGGCCAACTGCAAACGAGTGCCGCAAGAGAAAAGACACGCTGAGGCAAAGGCCCTCGCGAACCTGAGCGAAGCACCATCCCCAAACATCGATCCCCCGAGGCTAGCACATGCTCTCCAAGTCTGCATTGCCAGGCCTGCTGTTGGGGCTCCATCATAGCATCCCAGTCCTGAACCGGCCGGAGCCAGAGGAAGCCATTGCTACATGCCAAAAACTGGGGCGCACCAGAGCTGCTGTGAACTCCTCCTTGGAAACGATGCCATCGCCGTCCGTGTCCAGTTGATCGAAGATCAACTGCGAAAAATGCCCCCCACCCCACCCCACCCCACCCCCACCCCATCCTCACAGCTCGCCTGACCCAGGTTGCTGTTGTCGTCCTGAGACACCAAAAGAAGAACTTGCCCCGAAGTTACGTGCAGAAGCCTTCAACTTCTCGAGCTCGTCCCGAGACAAACCTCCGTCTCCGTCGTCGTATTTCCGGAAAAGCTCCTCGCGCTACATCGGGCACATGGTTTGTGCAAATGAAGACACGCGTTCCTGTTGCTTTCCTCTTGCGGTCGGATTGGAATTCTTTACTCGGCAAACATTGCCCCGCCCAGCACCCGCAACTGCTCGTCTTGCAAGCGGGCGACCTCGGCCTTTGTCTCCGCCATGGTGTCCCAATCCTGGCACGTTGCAAAAACCGAAACCCCGAGCACCCGAATCACAGGCCAAGGCCGAGCAATCCAAAGGCCGGCTGCGCCAGGGCACTGGCCAACTCCTCCTGCGTCACCACACCATCGCCGTCAGCGTCCAACTTCCCAAAATCCAACTGAGCGCTCGAAACCAATGGACCAGTGGTTCTACCCAAAGAAAAACTAACCTGGTAGTAGAACCACCTACTAGCAACAGAGTTTCTTGGCAGTCCCCATGCAAGATCTGGGCAAAAGGCTGCTTGTTGCTTTCTGCCCGTTCTTATGTCTGACCCTCGCCAACACCAGCCTGGCCGAAACTGGCATCCTGGGCCTGTCAGCCATACCGCGCGAAAAGCACGAAAGCCGCTGACTTGCGAGGCCTTCAGCTTTTCGAATTCCTCCGGGGACAAGGCGCCATCACCGTCGTCGTACTTTTCGAAGAGCTCCTGTGCGCTCAACCTGCTGCATTGCCCTGCTTTGAACTCGTTCGTGGCCCTACTAGTTGCATAACGCACAAAACATCAACCTCCTTTGTCACTTGATCTTCGGCCACACCCTCCGTCACCCACAGAAACCGCATCTCATACCCAACTATCGGTCCCTCACACCGAAACTGTTCCAAGTCCCACTTTGTGTAGGCGAAGAAGCTCAGCAAACAAGCTCAGCAAACAAGCTTGCCGCTGCACAACTGGGCAATTAACTACCCAAGCACCATGGCACTGCAACCAGCTACCTCAATTGTCGGCCTGGGGCCGCACCAAGCCGTCATGAGGGTCCTAGCCAGCACAAGAAGTGGCACGCGTACAGCTTGAGACACGCGCCTGCGACGTGTCTTCGATTCTTGAGGCATTCTGAGTCGCAGGGCCTTCTTGGGTGACCGCTTTCTCATCTTCAGTTCGCACTCCTTTGGATCTTCGTCCCTGGGATGCTTGCACCCCTCCTTGAGCGATGTCAGCCTTCGTCTCTTCATCTTGCACCACTCCCGGCGCCACTTCAGACTGCCGGATGCTTGGGGATGCTTGCCCTTCAGCTCTAGCAGCATGCTGCATCCGTTCCTGCGAAGTTCTGGCTGCTTCTGCCTTTGCTGGGCCTTGCCCTTGCAAGCCTGTGGCATCATCCTTGGCCCTTTCTGGTTCATCTTGGTTGGCTCTTGCTGCTTCGGGCTTTTCAGATTGAAATGCTCGCTGCTCTCCTCCGGCAGGATCGGACTTTGTCTTCTCATGTGACCAGTGCCTCTTGACCTCTGGTGGCTCCTCTGGCGGTCTCTGGAACTCTTCCTCCTCCACAGCCACTTCCTCGTGCGCCAGCCTCTCAACTCGCAGGGGCATCGACTCTGTTCCCTCAACCTTGCCCCACTGGGGCCCCAGAATCTGTGTGCTCTGCAAGGTCTGCTGCAGGCACTTCAGCCAATTCTTGCTGCCCCGCAGCTGCCGCATCCGCAGAGCCTCGGCGCTGGACAGCTCCCGCCGGATGTCCTCGTCGGATCGACCCAACGGCGCCTGCCGGGGGGTCCTTGAACGGAAGTCGCGCAGGTGACCAGACAGCTGCTGCTGGAGAGGCGTCTCATTCGGAACCGTCCCCAAGGACACCCGGGAGCTCCGCTGCCGGCCTGCAGAAGCGCAAGCTCGCAAACTGCATGCCGATATTGCGGCTCCGCTCCGCGCACTCACATGCGATGCCCAGGCACCTCGCCAAGCCTCAGAGTCCTGCTGCACTGTTCCGCCCTTGGGGCCTGCAAAACCAAAACTGAGAGCCTCAGAATGTCACTTCTCAGTGCCAGCTCAACCCAGCCAAGCGGCTCCCGAAAGCGAACTCCATCATTTCGACAAATGGCCACGGGGGGCTAGCAACCAAGTGCAAAGCCCCAGGCAAGAAACATCAGAATTGAGATGCTGCTCTTTGACTTTGACTGCAAGCACTTGAGCCACAACATTTGCCCTGAAATACATTGAGCATGTGGCCTCCCTCTGAGCTGCATCTGGCATACATCATCTGAATATCTAAATGTGAGAAGTCTATCGACAGCAAGGTGAAATGTGCCCTGCAACTGCAAGCGAGACAGTGCTCTTCAGGACCATTTTTGCCCATCTGGAGCCCGAAAGCCACGGCTAAGCAGCCTGGCGCTCAAAGCCACGGTCAGGAGCTTGATGCCTGGAGAAAACCAAGAAAGCGCACAATTTCACAAACAAGGGAATTCAGATCTGGATTGGGGGATGCCGATCTCGCATGTCCAAACAAAGCTACCAACAAGGGTGCAGCTGGAGTACCTCGGCACTGCAACACACAAAGGCACGCCTCGGGACATTTGCGCTTGGCGCGTTGGCTCAGCATCTCTCCGACGTGTTGGCCAAGCTGCCTGCCAGCGCCAGAAAAATGGCTCTGGGCGCACCGAACGGACTGCCAAAGAGTTCAGGTGTGTCCCAATGCTTTTGCAAAGCGGACACCTGCCTATCAAAACCTGGCCTTAAAATGGTCTGCCAAAAACAGCATGCTGAAGAACTGAAACGGCGGCCGCACCCAGTTATAGCTGGGATTGTCCCTTGCTACCCTCCAATTGCCGGGTTTTGATTGCAACTCAGGTGTTGCAGCATTGAAGAAACGTCAACTCTTTCAGCATCCCCTTTCCCTTGATGGGGTCCTTTTCAAACTGGGAGCCGTGATCTGACATAGCAAGCCAGAATATCAGCATTCCAGCGTCTTTCATACACCAGATTCCGCTAGCTTCTCTTTCCAATCATCCCAGGCTCTAGACTCCGTGCCTGAGCTGCTCATCACCTCACCGAGAGAGCCAAAGCCAAGACACGCCAACCCAAGGCCAAGGGCTCCGCTCAATGATGCCACGGACGGCATGAGTGAAGCTAACGAGGTCTCCTCAGTCTGTTGGCGCTGCCGCCCACGGATTGACACACTCCTGTTTGAACATAAGGTGCTGCACCCGCCCCCCCTACCAGCAGCACAGACCCCAGGATCTCCAGAATGTTTCATTTGTCTGCAGCGAATCAACTCCGCCAGTCAGGAAGCGCCACGAACCATCATGGGCTAAATACAAGCACGGACAGCGTCTTAATGATTTCAGCAGCATCCGTGAAGATTTTGACAGCATCGTGATGATACCACAGCCCAAAACAACTGCGCGCTACATACAAGCACAGCGCCGCCAGCTGGCAACTTGAGCAAACCGAATAGCTGCTAGACCAGCACCTCCTCTGGACAGGATCGCTGAACAAGCACGGTCACCCTGAGCACACAAAACAGCACCTCACCACAACACCCACACCCTGAGCCACCGAGCAGTACCCTGACCAGCACCCGCAACAGCACCCAAACAGCAGCACCCTGACCAGCACCCAAAACAGCACCCTGACTGCAGCGCCAAATAAGCAACGAACCGCCACAGCACCTGCAGTATAAGAACAGCAGCATGACCAGCATCAGTAGCACCCACCTGGCCCGATTTCGCTGAACGTAGCCAAAGCTATCTGGGGAAAAACAACCACACCGATTCACAGCAAACACATAAATATATAAAGGGTACGGGCATCCGTCGCTTGGGCCTAGGGCTAAGGCTGGCCTCGAAGCTGCAGGTGGACGAAGCCCTGACAGTGATAATAAAGGGTCCTGGATGTCAGTCTATCTCATTAACCCAAAGTGCGAACTGCAAGCCCAAGGTTGTTCCCGTAAGGAGCTCTTGAGCCAGTACGCTTGGTCAAGTGCCTAGAAGTAAAGGAAAACGTGGCCCTGGTTGCAGAGCCAGAGCCTGCAATACGTTCTCTGAGTGCGACCACTTCGCCTAAAGCGCAGGTTGGGGTCGCTGAACAGAATCATTAACGGCTCGGGGTGGTGCCCAGAAGGATCAGCGCCGGCCCAGGCAAGTCGGTGCGGCCCTTGACCTCGGAGACTTGGAGACTTGGAGGCCACCGGTTTCAACTTATCCGCCATGCGCTTTCATCACGGGCTCCGGCTGCTGCAGGCAAGGTCTCCACAGTCCCCGTCACCACCTCCAGTGCAGTTGAGGGATTCAAAACCCCCATCATTGGGATGGAAGATACGCGAAAAAGACACAAGGGATGGCAAAGGCCGTGAGGTTTGCAGATAGTCTGGGGGTCTTCTAGCAGACCTCCATTCCCGGCGTCGAGCAAGAGGCATGGGCGAAGGGCCAAAGCGGCAGCGCGGGCCTGCATCTCGGGAAGGGATGCACGGTCCACCAGTGCCATGGGGGTGGCCTTGGTGCGCCAAACGCAGCCTACCGGTTGCTTCACCGGGCCTCCCCACCCGAGGCAAGCTGCAAGTTTGAACTGAAATTTACGCAGTCGTGCAAACTGTTTCTGGCCAGGAGGCAGGAGCCACACCTGCAGCCATCATCTTCGCCGCAACGCCTGCCGCTTGAAACTGCCAAGCCCGCGCGACCTGCCTTGGGGCCACCCTCCACCACGCTCAGCCTTGGCTCTTGGTGGCGCGTGGGCGCGTCATATCGGCACGTCATGTCGCACTCTGCACCGATCACAGCTGAGCCCAGTGCCCCATGTAGAGTGCAAAGGTGGTGCCAGGAACCGCAAACTGCGACCAGTCGAACTTCTCATCCTTGATGGTGGATGGGTTCATGGTCTGCACCTAAAATGGAAAGCGCCAAGCCAGGACCCAATCCTGAAGAAACCCTGCACCCTCAAAGCCGTCGCACAGTTCCGGAAGGTCAGCGGGATCCGGGCATCCGCCCCTGGCACGTTGGCAGCCCAGACTCGACTAAGAGCCTCTTTCGCCGGGCACCCGCAGCAAGGCAGGCGGTGACCTGAGCCAATGCCACACGGCCCATTTGCAAAGATTGAAAAAAAAAAACAAAAAGCAGCTAAGCCAGCAACAGCCGGCACAATTTCAAACGGCACCTCTCCAGCTGACAACTCCTCTGCAAGCAAGCACCGTCCGCAACTTCAGCCGCCGCACGAACTAAGTAGCTCCTCCATCTCCTCTCCCACTCGGCCAAAGATCATGGGATCACCTCCCTTCAGGCGACACCTGTCAAACTTTGTGCAGCTAACACCTTGTCTCTTGAGGACACTGTCTCCAACAGAGGCCATCGCACGGACTTGCCGGTCTTCGCCAGGGCCACCAGTTGCCCAGAGATGTCGTCCTAAAGAAAGGAAGGAAGAAAGAAAGGATGAAAGAAAGAAAGAAAGAACGAAAGAAAGCAAGCAAGCAACCAAGCAAGAAAGAGACAGGCCACGCGAGATAGAAGCAGAAGTAGACGAAATACGAATCAAGACAAGTCAAGTAAAGAGTATGCCCAAAAGTGCTATGGCGGCACCGGAAGCTTCACTCGCACAACCTGTTTTGTCTTGAGCCAAAGCATTCAAGTCATCCAAGGCGAACTGAATGTTTGTTATCAGTGTCAACCCTGGAAACCTGATTCAAAGGGCAGTTCAAGCAAACATGAATTCCGGGGGCAAGGTTGAAATAGACATGCATGCACCACCTACCATCAGGAAAATGTGGATTCCAGCAGGAGGCATTCTTCTCCCCCTTCTCACACTCGAAAAGTGTCCTACGCAGACTCCAGTCTAGTTACTTAACTATACTGCCTACGGGCCTCGGAGCGTTTCCGCTTCACGGGGTTGCACTTTGCAAGTTGAGCCTAAGGATGCCATGTTGAGTAGGTTTAATGCAGGGTCCCACTTGCACACCGGCAATGGTTTTGTAAACACATCTGCTCGCTGCTTGTCCGTTGCTATGTACAGGAGTCTGCAACTTGGATCTTCGAAGACCTCATAAGCTGAACCTAGTTCGATCTTCTCCGTCTTCGTGAGGTGTCGCAATTTGGGGCTATAACCTGCAGCCACGATTTGGATTACAGCTGAGTTGTCCTGAAAGCACTCTAGCGTGACCTGACGGTCCAAGATCAATTCAAGGAAGCCTTGTGCTGGCAGTGCTTCGCCGAAAAGGCCTGATCCTAGCGAGATCATCTCTGCTGCTGTTGTGCTCCTGGCAGTCGCGGTTTGGCGTTTGCTGCCCCACGCGATTGGCCATAAGGTGTTAGGGCCCTCAATGGACAAGAACATGCCACTCGTGCTTTTTGTATGTTCGATGCCACTACAGTGGTCTGCATCTGTGTACAAGCACAGCTTGAGCAGTTCCGGCGGGTCGCCCATATGTCCTTGTAAAGCGTACCCTTTTGACCCATACAGGTAGCACATTAGCCTATGGAGCCGTTTATCATCTGCTCGACTCCAAGTGGTAATCCTACGTGTCAAATCCCCTATCCCTTTCATTAGGTCGGGTCGACTTAGCCTAGCGCACCAGAGGATCTTCATCAAGATTTTGCATGCAGAAGTTGCCAAAACCCCTTTACTTTCAAAGTCAGTGGTTGTAAGGCTGCCTTCTGGGCAGAAAGGATTTTTGGCTGCGCTCAATTTACATTTAGCCAAGCCCTCGTACACTGCACATGCGTTCTCGATGAAATCGAACATTTCGAGCGAAACCTTGGTCGATCCGTTGGCTCGATCGAATTTGCGCTGTCTGCCCAGCACGCGTTCAACCTGAGTTGGAGGTTCAATCTCCAAGTGCTTTTCAATCTCCTGCCAAAACTTGTCTTGTTCTGACGACGGCCCTGAGCACAGAATGTCGTCGACGTAGCAAGTTACAAGAAGCTTCCTTTGTGGAAACCAAAATGAAGATGGAAATTCATCAACATGTTGACCTTCCAAACGTTTCATCACTTTCCTTAGCCTTTGATCCCAATGGTATCCTGATTCGGGATGGCCATAAAGGCCCCTGACCAACCCGGCTGTTTGAAGTGCCGGTCTTCAGGAGGAGTCAATTCCCAAGGCAAGATCACCCATGTGGGCACCTTTGTCCCAAGGTACGCTTGGGTGTAGGCTTTTACTACGTCTGATTGACGAGTTTCGTGACCCTTGATGGCGCCGTATGCTAGATTGATGTTGACACCGGTCATTCCGGTCGGAGTGACTTTTGCTTCTTGGAGCACCGCAAGATTGTTGTCTTCCGTGAGGATGTGATCCCCTCGGAAAACTATCCTGGCTTTGAGTTTACGGAGTTCTGGGGTTTCCCAATGCTTTATCGACAAGATGGTCATTAGGGAAGCAATGTTGATATGCTCCTTGTTCCTTTTACATCTTGCCAAAAGGTCCTCTTTTGAGATTACCTCATCGAAAGTCCAGGTTCCGTTTGCTACTGGCCCATTCACTTCATTGTCGATGGCGTCTTGCGCTCCAGGAAAGTTACCCCATTCTTTTCTCTCCAACAACTTGTGGATGCCAGCAAACACATGTTCTACTCCTGGCAGCTCCTGATGACCAGCCTCGTCCTCTGGGGCGTGGTCGCCACACAGGAACTCTTGCACGGAGTTTGGCCCAGCTGACACTTGCACAGGCATTGCAGGCGATGCGTCAATCCAAGGATATAAGGACTGAGAAATGCACCTTGCCATAGGCATCGGGTAAAAGGCACTTCTAGGTGTCTTATTGCCTGCAAGAGGTGAATGCTTATAGTCACGCGGATGTTGGCATTTGGCACTGTCTAGGTTTTTAGCCAACCTCCATGAAGAGGTTACAACTCTCCACGTCTTGAGGTGACATTTACCTTCTTGGTCACAGAGTCCAAATGCGCAACCTTGAGGTTCCGCCACGAACAAGTCATGCCTCTTGACAAACCTGATCAGCTCTGGCAAGTCCCATCCGGCACATCTCTTCGGCCACTCGAAGGCAACGTGGCCCCCTTGACTGAGGACTTTGTCTGCGCAACGAATGTAGTTTGCTATTTTTTTCTAGAATGCTTGCGCATTTTCTTGAGTTTCTTAGCAAACGGTTTTCCGTATTGATGGAGATTTACATTCTGCCATTGCGACCAGGGGCCGCAAGGAATCGATCCCCACAAATCACACCCGGGAAATTGTTCTATGACCTTCAAAAGACTGTCATTTTCCCACTGGCTTGACATGTCAGAGTTCTTTGTTGTGAGTCGGAAATGGTTGATTCCTCTTTCTTCGTTGATCTGACCCAACGTTCGGATTCGCCGATCGACCTTTGCGGTCCTCACGCGCAGGCTTGACCAAGTCCTTAGTGAGTTCAAGGATTTCTCTGGCCTTCCTAGTTCGTGCTTGGCTGTCACCGGCTTGCTCGATGAACCTTTGCATAGCTCTGAGATTACCGTCTGAAGGGTTGGCTGCGGCTGCACACAGTTGCGCTTGATCTGGCGACGCACGTCCTTTCGGAAAGAACCACGTCTTACCAAACCAACTTTTTGATGAAATCCTTTGATACGGAGTCTCTTGCCAGTTGTCCCTATGCACGGAAACCTTCCCCTTGCATCTCCACTCGGTGATGCGTTCTGGTTCAACCTCGTTGGAATCGAAAGGACAATCCTTACCCACTGGTGCAAATAGCCTTTTTCTAGGTCTTAAATGCACTAGTACCCATGCGTGCCTTGCTTCATCAAACTCCCAATAATCCTTGGTTTCGGAGTTGCCCTCAACCAAAGACTTTGCCCCCTTGACGTCTGATCTTGGCCCTTTGTTTTTAGAGTCTTGAAAAGAACAGTTGTGACAAGAGTCGACGGCGGTGGTACCATGAGCATCGGTTGCTTCACTGGTCCTTTGGGTTAGTGTGATGACTGCTGCTGGAGTGGGCGGAACTGGTGTCGAAGGTGCTGGGTCAGATCCAGGAGTACGAGGTACCGGTGTACCCCGCGAAGCAGGAGTCGGAGGCATCGGTATCCCCTTGCTGCTGCCTCTTCCCGGGCCTTGGCCTTGGCCTCCTGTGCCAGCCTCTCATCCTCGAGGAGAACACGGAATCTGTCGTGACATGCATCGGAGTGTGGTACTCCTTCCGAGATCCTTTCACACCTTTTGCAACCCGGGGTTCTACCAAATTTGATGGCCCTCTCCAACGTCACATAGGTTCGTTTTCTCCTAGGGACAGGATCTGGGACTTCATCGTCAAATGGCAAATTCCTGGTTGAAATGGATGGTGGGGTTGATTTCGCACTGAACAGCTGAAGCCTTTGTTGCTCTGCCTCAAAAAGAGGGAAAACCCAACGTCCATTTGAAGGTTCGACCAATTCTGTTTCGTAAACTTGGATTGGCTTACCACAACCTTGAGTGTTTTTGCGAAGCGACTCAAAGTCTAGGACGAGGTGTATGCCCCTAAATTTGTACCCTGCCAACGAATATGCCAACGAATATGCCGCGGTATGGTCCTCGGCTCGAAGTCCGGAAGCTCTCGATGCTTGGGCGGCTGGCTTGTAAAACACCAGGCAACCAAACGGCAGCTTCAAACCTGTGAAGGCGTCACCGCCGCTTGCGGCTTCATATGCATTTTGAGTGGCTTTGAGACTCTTGACATCATCCGAATCATTTGGATGGATTGCCGCATTTGTTGACACGGCTAATGCGGCGCACACGTACTCAACACTTCTTGGCCAAAACTGGTGAGGCAAACCAGATTTCAACTGAACAGCTCTAGCGGTTTCCTTAATGCTCCTGATCTTCCTCTCCGTGACTGGATTGTGAATCTGATCATTTGGAACACTAGGATCTGGAAGCCATCCAAGGTACTCTTTGAGCTCTTCTGCACAGTCGGCTTTGACCTGACACAGTGCCTTACCATGAGCTCTGGTTCCTCCAAAGTGCTGAAGACACCTGATGTTGCTATCGGTGTCCCGCTTAGCTTGCGGATACGCGGCAAACGCACCTGAATAGTCATCTAAGACTACCAAACAACAGCTTTCCCCATCTGACCCTTTTGACAAGCCCGTGATCATATGATCTGCTCTGAGTTTGTGGCCAAAATGCAAAGGAGGTGTTTCCTCCGGATCTATTTCCAGACCCCTTTTGCGGTGAACCTTTGCGGTCATCTTAGCCCTCCTGCAAATCTCACAGTACCTGTTCTTAGGAAAGTGCGTCAACTGATGCTTTTCGGAGTTAGCTTCTTGCTGAAGCTTTTCACGCAATGAGGGGGTCCACTCCTCATCTTCAGAGGTTAGCGGCTCGTCCCCAGGTTCCGTTTCTGGCTCTCTTGCTGCGAGAAGTTCCTCTTCAACTCCAAAATGAGGCAAAGAGTCGTCGAGCTTCACGCCCCTTTTTGACCTCGGTAGGTCTGAAGGGTGGCCAGGCGTGGGCGGAGCTTCTTCAAATGCTTTTGCGTCCGGTGCAAGCAATTCATGAGGTCTCACTGACGGCCTACTTGTGTCCCCTTTTGATGAGGACGAAGGCTCTCCTCCTGTTGCTGGCATTCCTGACACGGCATCTGGTGCTGCGACAGCCACGCTTTCGGATAGGATTGGAACGTTCTGCTCCACACGATCGGCATAAATCCTGGCTGACTCCGGAACGTGATGTACGACATCACTCACCCGATCTGCTTTGATTAGATATGGGAGTTGGCCTGGAAACCACACAAATGGCCTGCCATGCTGTTCGACTTGAAGGCCTGCCGACAAGGCATGAGGGCAATCCTTCAACATGTAGAACGTGTTTGTTCCTGACAATTCCCCTGAGAGATCCACCACTTCAGCACTGGGCCTGATGCCACCACCGGTGCAGAATTCAATCGGCTCATTTGCCTCGTGCACATGCTCCCTGAAGGATTGCGGCAAACTCTTGCTTGAGATTAAGTTCCTACCGGCACCTGTGTCCAGCAGAAACTCTTGCTGCACTGGCTGGCTAAGGCATGCAATCATGGTTGCCACGGCTTTCATGCATTGCGACAACACGGGAGTGCAGAATGCGGTCTTCTTGCACTTCTTGGCTGCTTTCTTAGCTTCAGCAACAGTTCCTTTCAAGGCATACGCGGCTGCGAAACCTTCGCTGCCCCTGCGTTGACGGAGGCTGCACCTGCTGGCGATGATGTCTGAAGCCCTTTTGGCTTGGGTCCCTTATAGAGATTGTTGGAATCATGAAGATAGAAGCACTTATCACCTTTGGTGCAAGCATTATACCCAAAGTACATGCAAGGCTGCTTCTTCTTTTCTTCATCCGTTAGCCTAGGAGTGCCCTTAGGAGTTGTGCCCCCCTTCTTACCCTTGCCACCCTTACTCTCGCCCTTGCCTTTCCCCTTTGCGGGTGCTGCATTCGCTTCTTTAGGCTTCGGATCTTTGGAGTCTTGGGGCTTCTGGCTGGATGAAGGTTGCTCCTTTTGGGCTTCCCCCTTCTTCTCTGCCTTCTTCTTGTCGTTCTTGTCTTTCCCTTCCTTTGTCTTGGCTGGTGCTGCTTGGGACTTAGTTGCGGATTGCGTGTACACCTGATCGATCGACACGACATTTTCATCTAGCTGATGAATCTCGATGATTTCCCCGAGCTTCGCGTAAAGCCAAGGCCGTGTCCTTTTACTGCTGTTTGGACTGGCGTTCCTGAAACGGTCGATCACCAAAGCCATTTTTGGATGTCCTTTCAATTGCTCGAAAAGGGTGTTCCTAATAGCTTGGTCACTCGGTCTCTCGGAAACTTCCAAGGCCTGGTACACGAAGTCGAATCTCTGACGGAAATCTTCGAGTGCCTTAATGTCGGTGCCGCTCATCTTGAGGCCTAAGAGATGGGTTTGAGCCAAGGCAATTCCCCTATCCTTCTCCATCTTAAACCTCTCAAAGATGACCCACAACAACTTCCGCCCCTTTGGCTGCTTGAAGACCCGTTGCTCTTGCTCCTGAATGGATTGGAAAAGCATGGCAAACTTGGTGTTCTTCGACAGCTCAAGCAGCTTTGAACCCAACACTCGATCAAGAATTGGAAACGGAAGGCTCGACTCGAGATCGGCTTTGGGATTAGTGCTTTCGGCGATCCAGCTATGGACTATGGATTCGTCACCCTTTGCAAGCCTACACACAAGGTTGAAAACCGAGTTCCTGAATAGGCGAGCGTCTGCCGCCGTTTTGGGCAGCTGAGGCAACTTCATCTCATCATATGCCTTCACACGCATGAGTTTCTTTTCCCTTGAGTAGGCATCGATTGCCCCGTCAATTTGGGCCATTCCCTGATTTCCTGGAGAGGGAATTGAGGGGCCCTGAGGAGGTCTTTGCGAGCCTCCTGGCGAACCTCCTGGTCTCCCGCCGCCTCCACCCTTGTTGGATTCGCTTGATGAGCTATCCGAGTGATCTGGCGACCCAGGATTGGAACCATGCTGTGAACCATTCTGTGATCCACCCCCCGACTGCCCTCCCACAGATCCTATGTTGAAAATCTGAGGGACTTGCCCTGTTCCTGCCTGATGAATTTGCGGCACAGGTTGAGCGGCGGCAGTCTGGGATGCAAATAGCTCAAAGGCTGATGTGAGCTGGTCCAAACGCATTTCTAATGCACTTAACCCCGGATCCAGTGCAACTGGAGAAGAATCCCCAAAAATGTTTCTCACAGCACCTGATAAGTCCCATGATGAAACATTGTGTGCACTGATTCCGGTGCCCTGAGGCATCACGGGGCTTGCCTGATGTGAACCAGTGCCATGCGCTATCGGTTGGGGGTTTCCGGTGCCCTGCGGCATCACGGACCCGTCCTGCACTGGCTGGCTGGTGCCCGAAGGCATCACAGCAGGCTGCCCACTCGCCTGCAGTGGCGGATTATCCGCGCCATTATGGATGCATGCCAATTCTCTTTTTAAGGATTGATTTTCGGCTTCAAGAGAATTCAACCTTAGCAATCGGTCTGCCAACTGTTGCGCCCTCTACGTTGCTTCGGCCTCCCTAAGCTGGTGTTCCCTAATCTGGTCACTTGTGCCATGCTGGGTCCTCGTCAAGGCATCTTGGAGTGCCTGAACCTGTGCGTTGGCTTGTGATTCCAAATAGACTCGCTCCTGGGCTTGTCTCAATTGGTCCCCCGATTCATGCTTGGTCCTTTCAAGCGATTCCTGAAGGGCATGAACTTGATTGAAGGATTGGCTTTCCAATTGATTTACCCTATCCCTAGCCTTGGCCATTAAGCTTTGAGCTTGGGCTTCAGTGACAATCAACCTCCTATCATTCTCTCTCAAATGCGCTTCAGCTCTTTCGACCAGTTGTTGATCCAATGATTGAACAACCATGGTCGGCTGGTACACTTGGGTGTGATGAGCTTGAGCGTGCATTTCAACATTTGGTGAGAAATGATGATGCTGTTGCAACTGAGCACTTTGCATGTTGATCCTACTACCCATCGGTTGGGATGATGCCGTGGACATGCTAGTGTCTTCATTACTATTACTGGAGTCTGCGACCTGCGGGGGTGAAAACATCTGTACAGATCCCTGAGCAGCTGGAACTATTTCTGACGGCTCCATTGCTTCTTGAAATTGGTCGGACAGGAAAAGCTACTGACGCAATGCCTGCTTGCACCTTGCGGCGCACTCCGGCCAATGGGCCACACAATCCTCAAGAAATCCGACTGGCCTGAACAAATTGTTGGCCGGTGGCTTTCTGCGAAGCTTGATGTGAATGCCCGAGATCTTGTCCTGTACCTGGCGATCGATGATACTGTTGATGACCTCGTCACTGTCGTCAACGATGAATGCCGAGCGGAATCCAACTGACAGCAGATCCTGAAGGACTAGCACCTTCCCACCTTTCTGGGTCCTGGAGTTGTATCTGGCCCTTTCAGAAGTTGTAATGATGAAGTCAAAAACTGATGAAATATCCGGAGTGCGATTGAACGCAGCAACCAAATGCGTCTCGGCGTTCTTGGCTATGGAGGTAGGATAGGCAGATTGTCACAACGTGGATACCTTCGCGAAAGAAAGCGGCTTTCAGCTGTCTAATCGCTTCGAGGTTGTCGTGGCAAATACCTTCGTAATCCCACTCTGTGCGTCCGCAACGGGCTCTGTCAAGAACCTGGTGATAGTCGATTGCAACCACGCAACTGTCCCGAAAGTCAATGCCGTAGCGCGGCTCGTAGACAAAGGACAATCCTTGATCTTCCCAATTGCTGTTCACACACTTGAATACTCCTGTGGCAAGAGCCAAATCACAAATCACCGCAGCGAAGTGATGCCCGGAAGGCTCAGCGCGCCTCGGCGTACGTGAAGTGCCCTCTGGCCTCGACGCAGCTTTGCTGGTCGCCTGGAGCAATCTGTGCTGCACAGGCTCCGCAGATGACGATGCAGGCTCTTCGGCTCGGAGCGACTCGCGCTGCACAAGCCTAAGAGGAGCAGTTCGATCCGCTGCCTTCACAACCCGAAAAGACACCCGATGATTCTGGGGCTCCTCAGTCAGACGCTGTTGCTCGTTCCAAAAGGCCTGTTCGTAGAGCTGTAGCTGTTCCCAGTTGACTTTTGCACGTGCAAGTCTGTCCCAGGTGCTATCCAGCACAAATGGAGGTTCGTTTGATAAAACCCCCTCGGCCAATCCGTCACGCAGCACACCAAGTTTCTGTGATTTGCCTCTTCGTCCGGCTCGATGCCAACCGAAAAGGTTCCACAGTTCTGGTGCAATTCCCGGATGCTCGACGCCCTCACCCGCCGTAGCTATCGGTCGCAGCTCAAAAGCTACGGCTGATAACCAGACGAAATACGAATCAAGACAAGTCAAGTAAAGAGTATGCCCAAAAGTGCTATGGCGGCACCGGAAGCTTCACTCGCACAACCTGTTTTGTCTTGAGCCAAAGCATTCAAGTCATCCAAGGCGAACTGAATGTTTGTTATCAGTGTCAACCCTGGAAACCTGATTCAAAGGGCAGTTCAAGCAAACATGAATTCCGGGGGCAAGGTTGAATTAGACATGCATGCACCACCTACCATCAGGAAAATGTGGATTCCAGCAGGAGGGTTTCTTCTGAAGTTGATCTCTTTGGGCTTCTCTCGCTCTCAAGGGTCAAAAGGAGGAACCGGGTCCTGCTGCTGCTTCATCTTGGCTGTGCTGTCGGTGGTGCCCTGGCGCAATTCAAGCATGTGCAGGTGATCAGAGCCCCGCTGCTCATAGTGAGGCCCCCACTTTGCCAACGTAGCGGACTTCTGCCCCTGGCTTCGCAAGATCTACCACCTGGCCAAGGAGAATATGCTTCGAACGCGCACCAGCTGCGCCCCAAGCCATTTGCGCGCATGACGTGCCCAAGAACCCACACGCACAATCCGCTTTTCGGCATTCCAGCATTCCAGCGCCTAATGCAACCAGGTCTGCAACTCAACGATCCGGGCATTCAGATTTTCAAACAAACCATGAGCCAAAGGTTGAGTCGCAAAGGGTGCCTCACAGCACCATTGGCAACGCCCAGAGCGAGACATCGAGGGGCCAAGCGGCTGGCCACAGGCCACTTTCGACCTAGGCTTCCTTCTCCTCACAAGTTGATGCCTCGGACCTGACCTCGGTCTCGAACACCTCGTCCACGTACTTGCACCCCAAGCCCTTCCTTGGCCACCGAGGCCTGTTGGAAGGTTCCCGAACGGAGATTTGAAGGGAAACAAGTACTTCACAACATCCGAGCGCATTGCCAGCTGACTCCCTCGGGTGCGTGCCAAGTAGCTTATTATCAGACTCATCAGGCTTAGCACTGCTGGTGTCCTGCCATTGCAAGCTGAAAGCTGAAGCCCCACACCCAAATGGAAGGCGTCCTCTGAATATACGGCAGCATCACGCGCTTCATACCCTAGTAGGGCAGAAAGAGCGATGGAGCCAACCACGATGCTCAGCATCACAGTCAGCTCGGCTGTGTCAGAGACCTGGCTGGAGGAACGCAAAAAGTTGCTTCCGTTCGGAACCCTTGCCAAAGTCATCCTAAAGTCATCCTACAGGGTGAATCATCCCGCTCTCATACAAACTGGTCATCAACATGCACCGGCCTGGAACTGGTCGCGGAAGAGTAGCAGCATGCCAAAGAACAGCCTTTGCTCCAAGGCAAATCTGAATTCTGCCCCTCTAGGAGCAGAAGCCAGCAGCAGCAGCATCAGCAGCAGCAGCCAGCCAGCCAGCCAGCCAGCCAGCCAGCCAGCCAGCCAGCCAACCAACCAACCAACCAACCAACCAACAGCCAGCAGCAGCCAGCAGCAGCCAGCAGCAGCCAGCAGCAGCCAGCAGCTGCAGCAAGAGGCCAGCAATTCTGCAAGATGAGGTGGCCAAACATGTGCGGGGTGAGTAGAAACTGCCACTAGAGCTTTGCGTAGCTACCTTGGCCCCCCGATGAACTCCCACGAACTCCATCCTCCACAGTTGTTCAAGAAGAAATCCAAAGAATTCTGCTGCAAGGTTGAAAGGGTAGCACGCTTAACTGATATGAAGAAGTGGATTAGGTTTCGGCAGCATGGGAAACTATGGAAACATGGGGGAAAGGACATGGTCACCAGTTTCGCATTGTGCTGATAAAACTGCTGCTCCAACAAAGCCCACCCGACTGCCAAACAAAACGAGCGACACCAGCAGGCTGATCCCAAGCTTCAGCAGGTAAAAGCGCCGCAGAAGCTCACGCACCACCACGTACAGCTCCGGCAGGGCGAACACAGCCTGAGGTGCGCAGGCTGGCTTCCGACAGGTCGCTTTTGTCGTGTGCCGTCCATGGCTTCCCCATTCTTGAAAGGTAGTGGCGGCCTTGAGTCAAGCCACCAGCACTGAGGAAGACCAAGCAATAAAGTGATTGTCTATCTCCTCAATCTTAGTCAGCGTCACATCAACCTGGCAGCTCGCTCTGCAGTGACGAATCCATTGCGAAAGCTGCGGTGCACAAACCAACCTGCCTCCATTGCGAACATGATTGCCAGCAGGCAGCAGACTACAGGTCCCATCATGGTCACCTCAGCTGTAGGCCCTCCAGTAACTTGCCTCTTAACCGGCAAAGACAGTTGGCAATGTGTCATCGCAGCATCACAAAAAGCGGCAGGGAGTATGCGTTGCCGTCGGGCTGCTGATAGTCGCCCGTTCCTTTGGCAGCTTCACAGGTAGCACAGCATGCCGAAGGGAAGCAAGAACGTCAGCAAACAACGAAGAGAAGGCAGCAGAACAAGCAGTCTGAACGCAACACACCACCTCCGCAAGGCAAGTCGCTTGTAGACGAAAACTCGGCCGTCTGTCTCGTAATTCGGCAGCAGGCGGTCCCCGAGAGCGAAGCCGAACATCTTGTAGGACTCGGAGGCGGAAGCATCGAAGCCTCGGCTGGCCACTCCCTCTTTTCCCCCCTGCACAGGCCGAAAACCGAAAAAGAAGAGGATGACGAAGCTTGGGGCAAGCCGAGGTCCAAAGATCTTCCAAAACTTGGGGGGTGCGGAAGGGGGGGGTTCAGCTGCTAGTGGTGGAAGGGTTCCACCAGCGAATGCTGGCGACAATTCTCAAAGCGCACGCCAAACACCAAGCGCAATCCAAAGAGCTTTCATCTTCGTGACTGTCATCACCTCAGCACTGCATTCACCAAAAAGTAACCACCCATAGCTCCTTCAATCAGTCAATCGGCTGTGCCCAGAACGTCTGTTTCATCTGAGGCGCGCATCGTCTGCAGGCCCACCAGGATCAGCCATGCGCCCAGCAAGTAAGGCAGCACTTCCATATCCTGGATCCAAGCCTGAGTTGAGCCGAGAGTAGAAACACTCCTGCGTTCCCATGTGCTGCCATCATCCGCAACGGAGGCAGGCTAAGCTGCTGACAGCGATGCCCATGAACATGAACCTGGCGCACGCATGACATCAAGACATCGATGAAACACCAGCGCGCAACTGGAGGGAGGAAAGACACACTTGAGTTGGTGGGGGAACCTCAGAATAGAAGGTTTCTCGGATACAAAAAAATGGCACGCTTGAGGCGGGCCGTCATTCAGCAGGTGCTGGAGCCGAGCTGCATTTGGAAGACCATCTGCCAGAGGGACACCAACAACAGGGCGTAGCGGGCTATTCGCGCAGGCACTTTGAACGCAACCAGAATCATCTGATATAAGAAAATGTTCTCCTTGGCAGCGCTTGCGCTTGGAATGCAATTCATGCTTTGCAAGAAATTGAACTTTGGGAAGGCCTCGAAGAAAGCTACTGAAACATCTGCCCCTGGCTCAGGTGGTTCTTTGGTGTTTCCCCGTGCTGGTCAGGGTGCTGTTGCTGTTTGTGTGCTTAAGGTGTGGTGGTGACTGGCCGAGCTTGCCTGCTGCTGCAGTCAGGATGCTGGTCAGGGGTGGTGGTGATGGTCAGGGTGCTGGGGTGCTGGACAGGTTGCAGTGTGTGTGTGTGTGCTTCAGGTGCTGGCGGTGCTTGTTGGTCCTGAAGTCAGGGTTGGGGTGCTGCTTGTGCGCATAAGATGCCGTGGTGGTTACTGGCGCTGCAGTCAAGGTGCTGGTCAGCGTGCAGTCAGGGTGCTGGTCAAAGTGCTGGTCAGTTTTGGGTGCTATTTTTGTGCTGGTGAGGGTGCTGGTGCTGTTCGTGTTGTTTAGGTGATGTTCCCGGATTGCTTTTTTCTGTAGGTTCCTATTCCCTAGATTGATAGCTCAAAGCTATATATAAAGGGTGCTTACTTCTACGGGCAGACTGTTTTGCGAGCTCGGACCAGGTTGGTGCTGCAAATGCTGGTCAGGGAGCTTTTTGTGTTGCACTCAAAGTGCTGTGGCGGTGGCTGGAAGAGCCTGTTTTGCAGTGCAGTCAGGGTTCTGTTGCGGGCGCTGTTCAGGGTGCTGTTTGGCGCGCTCAAGGAGCTGTGGGAGTTGCTCATGCCGCGTCTTCGGCGATGCACGCAGGAAGTTGTTGTGGGTACTAGTGAGGGCGCTTTTTTGGCGTGGAAGCGCTTGCAGGGTGCTTGCTTCAGGTCGGCTCGCGTGCAGGTAGGGTGCTGGGGTGCTGGTGCTTAAGATGGTGTGGTGGTTGCGGTCGGTGCTTCTTTGGCGATGCAGCCAGTCTCCAACGCTATCTGGGGCCTATGCTGGTGTTCTTTTTTTTCGTCCAGCTTGGACAACTGCCAGGCATCCATGGAGAGAACCAGCTCCATGACGTAGCCGTCCAGCCATACACTTGCCAAGCTGGAGCCCGACGTGCAGTATATCCACAGCAGATAGAGCATCGCGGCCTATGCCGATCCCCGATTTCCCTTAAGTGAAGTGTCCCCTGTGAAATGGAATGCCCCCTTATTCATCAACCCGGGGCACATGCACCTTCTGCGCTCACTGCCCCGCTCAGGCCAGCACAAACGTCCACACAAAAAGTGCAATGACCTGATGGCAGGCTGGCTGAAGCACGTGGGACCAGCACCACGCAGCCAAGCGGCGTGCGCGACCCAAGAGACAAGCCGCATCTGGTGCACGAACACGCCTGAAGCTCAAACAAACCACCTACAAGGCCTTATTCAGCATGATCAAAGTCGACCCCCCAACCGAGCGCCCATCAAGCTAAGCGGCTGATGCGCATCAGCACTAGCCACACGCAGGCAAAGAATACCCACTGCCCCGCCACTGTCGAGGCAAAGAAAGCCTCGCATCACAGGCGCAAAGCAGTAGGTGCTACGTTCAAGGGACGGAAGCCGATGTTCTCGCAGTGGTTCTCAAGTGCACAGTTTGCTACATCTCCCCCGTGCTCTCGCTGGAAACTCCAATTTTATGGGGCAGTGCAATCGGAACCTCCGTGCCTGGAGCTCCCAGTGGGGGCGGGGCTTGCGCATGGGGGGTTTCCTGCTGCGGCCCAGCGCCTGGCGATTTTCGATTGGGTCCGATGCGGAGAGGTAAAAGACCCGGGCCCTTTTCACAGGATATTGGCCATCGAAGATCTACTGATGGGAAACCCGGAGGCTCAAACGAACCAACCCGAAAAACCAAGAGTACTGGAGAGCAGCACTGGGAAGCCACAGCCTTGGCATCCTCGCAAGAATGTTGCGAAGGTTTTTACAAGAATTCAGCCCTATCCCTCTCTCTCTCTCTCTCTCTTTTTTTCTCTCTTGTTCAACTCTTCTCAAGCTTTCCGGCCTTCCAAAAGGGAGATTGCGCCCTGGGCCACCCCATCATGCTGCCATCAAACTCCGAGATCGCCGCTGCGAGGGCAGAGCCCCCATAGACTTCGGCAGATTCTGGCCCGGTTCGCAACAGCTCCTGACTCCCGGCGGCCTCTCGCGGGGTTGGGGAACAAAGCATCCCTAATAGCCAGCAGCCCAAGACAAATTGATTAACGAGGCTTTTGTGCGATCCTCGCCCTGGAGCAAACTGAGACAGCCATCAACTAATCCGTTCTCCGAAAAATAGACCCAGTGACATCAGAATGAGATAGATCGAGTCCCCAACACCTGTAAACAATCAGCACCGCTGCTACCTCCTTGCACCAAAGCCAACCGTGCCCTGTCTTTGTGACCCTTGATGTTTGCCTTGTCGGCTTCCAAGGCCGACCGCAGCTGCTTCGGCTGCTTCAGCTGCTTCAGCTGCTTCACGTTCGGCACCTCCGCGGCGATGATGGGAAGAAATGCCCAAGCAAGCAGGCAACGCCTGCGCGGCCGGTTCATACCCAAGGGCGCAGCAGAAACCCTGTATGAGACAGGAAGAGCCGTGAAAGGCACTTTACCAATCACAACTAGCCGGCTTTACAGGGCTGGTTGCTTTCCCAGGATGCCCTTGGCAGGAATGCAAGCTTGTGCATGTCAGCGCCTGGTGAGACCCATCATCCTTGGGTCAAATGAAGGCCACGGCACTGGCCAGAAAAAGAATTAAAACGCTGCGCAAGAGCGCTGGCCGGAAATCGGCACGGATTTGGTTGCACTACCGGATGGATGAGGCATTTGTCGCCCTCTGAGCCGAGCGGCAACGGCGACGTGCCACATGCCACTTCCCAGTCAGTCTTGGGTTGCGTCTGGTCACTTGGGACTGGCAAGGTGGGCCTTGAACCCAAGATCACGCAGACTGGGAAAGCAACCAAGTTTTGTCGTTGAAGTCAATCCTTCAGAGGGTCAACGCTCCGCCTCTTGGGGCACCAGCCGGTCATGAAGCACCACATCGCAGGAGCGCAGCACCTGCGGGCGGCTGGTCCGGCCGGCAACCCGGCAGTTTCAAAGATGGGCGGGACAAAAGGAAAAAGAGCTTGGCTCATATTCGCCTTGGCCAGGAAGCTTGGGATGGGCTTTGCAAAACCATCCCCGACCCAAGTAGGTGGGAAGGTTGACGAGCCTGGGGTTTGGGGGTTAGTGAGGATAGATGAATCTATCTACAAAAGGCCGTAGGAACCATGGCCCCTTGCTTCAAGCTTTAAAGCCGCCCATGGCACCGCGCAGAACTCCCGATCCCTTTTCTGGGGACTGGCTTGTTCCCAGGCACAGCCATCGCCCAACGCCAACAGGCAGAGACCAACACAAACGGCTGTGTCTGGTGAGTGTTCCTTGGCGAAGTGAAACCAAAGAGAACCCCCAAAGATGGAGTTCCACTTCCATGTTCAGCCACCGTCCATCGCCTCCAATGCCCTCAGCGTCAGAAGACCAACAGATCCGGGCCCTGCCCCGACCAAATAGACCTGAGTCAGTCCCGGTTCGGGTAGGGAACCCACTTGCTTCCAGCAATCTGGTGAACTTGTGCATCCCCGACTTCACTTGCACCCTGTTCCAGCGTGTGGCGCCTGCCGCACTGGCTTGCTTTGCCAACACCTCTCGCCAGATTGCACAAACCTCCTCCACCTGAAAATTGCCACCCCGCAACCCCCTTGCGCACACCTCCCGTTCCAACTCCTGATTCTTCATTTGCCGTTGCTGCACTGTAGCATCAATGCAGAGATCGTACCCTCTGGGGAACAAACAAGGACGGCATAAGCGGCCGGCACAGCCCGGAGCCACGCTCTGGGCCAAACCCGAGGCATAGCCTGAGTGTCAAGTGCCTATCAGTTTGCCACCGACTTCCCATATGCAGTGGCAACTTTGAATGAAAGCAAAAAGTCCGACAGAGTTGCTCCATTTGCACCTGAGGATCCTGAGCAAGTTCAACCTACTGCTTTGCATGATGGAAGGGCTGAGCACGCTGCCTCCACGCTCATTATCCACCATCGGGCATGCAAGAGGAAAAAACAATGAATCGGCTGTCTTTCCTGCGAGTTCTCCAGCGGTTTGCTGACGGTGTGGAAAAAAGAATTGGACTGGATGGCCATGTGCTTGTCCCTGGCTGTCGGAGTTGCCATTAAGCCAAGCTCAGGCGCAGGTAGCAGTTCCTCAAACCCAGGGAGGGACCCTTGTGAAAGGAAATTGGAGGCGCAGCACACAAACTGTTGGGGTCCCAACCCCTGGTGCGCTCACAACTTCTTGCAAGTCTCCCTTTTGCGGCCCGCCGCAAGCGTGCCAAATCCGATCCCACACTCCTGGCCGACTCCCAACAAGCACTGGCCAAACTCATTCCTCCGAGCAACTTGGATACCGCACCTATGGGTTCCACCTTTCCACCGATGGGCTTCTGTATTCTTGCACTCCGCTTAGGGGGAAAACGGGAAAACCTAAGGGCAGCCAAAACAATCCATTCCAACAATTCACTGAGGTTCCTGCCTCTGTGCGGGCTTCGCGCCAAGTGCTCCACCAGCCATAGAGCGCCGGCTGCCTCATATGGGATGCTGCTTGGGCAGGCATTAGGGAGCGCAGTTACTCGTAGTATGGAACGCTCTTACCCCTGCATATCTTGCATGGAAAGCACAGCAAGTGGCTGGCTGACGTCTAGTATGCCTCTGGTATGTTGCAGTGCACATGTAGCCTTCTGCCAGCATTGCTTTCATACATGTTGAACTGGCTTCTGCAGTGTCGAATGAGCGTTTCTAGCATGCCAACGGTTTGTTCATCTTGACTTTCTCACCGTTTGTGCACAAATCCATCAAACGTTTACTATCTGCCTGACGTAGCCCTGCGCTTCTAGTGCGTCTTTAGTGGCGTGTCTAGTGTGTGTGTGTGTGTGTGTGTCCCTTCTGTCTCTCCGACATGTGTGGAGCACACTGTATATCATTTGTTCCGCATGCTTGGCACATGTCTAGTACCTTCTTGTCATGCGTCAGCATCTGTGTAGCAGGAGCATCGCATGTCAAGCACTTTCCTAGATCATCTTTGAGGCGTTTCTAGCGCTAGCTGCAGTACATGCCTATCTGGTTTCTAGTATGCGTGAAGGACATATCCAACATGCACTCCGTACAGCCGTATGTCCCGCAAGTGTCCAATATATGTTCAGCTAAGCTTCAACCTCAGCCTCAACAAGCGTTTGCCAAGTAGAAAGCCTGTCTTGACCCAAGCATGACATGCTCTCAAACCGCCATCTGTTGCGGAGCATCCTGTGTTGTGTGGCTTCACACCGCGGTCATGATCGAAACAGCTCTCAGAAAAGATGCGCCCCCAAGTGCCGCCCATACCCTTCAGCATGCTCGCAGTCGATTGCACGCCTCGCCAGTCACAGCAAGCTCCAGAGCGGCCGCAGAGAGGGCGGCGTGACCAAGTCCAGCTGGCCGCTGCACAATCAAACTTGAACTGGAACAAGGCCCCACCTGCCCCTCGCAACATGAGCAGCATGTCTGAAGGCCTCACCCAAAGTCGTGAACACTTGCTTCAACAATCAACTAAGCCCTTGACGTGCCATCCCTCGGGCCATCACCGCCGATTTCCTGGGCGGCGACTTGTAGCTTCCGCTACGAGGTGTTCCAAGCCACGGGCCATGTGCGCCAGAAGCGGTCCAAGCCCCTTCGCCTCAGGAAGCACGCGCAAAGGAAGTGAATAGGATAGAGCTTTGTTCAATCTGTGAGGCCATCACACCACCAGGCACAACCTGCATGGCCCGTGTGAGAAGGGGGCAGCCTTTGAGAATGCCAATCCTGCCTGCAAGTTATCCAGATAGGAAAGGACAAGATGAACGTCCTCAAGAGCTCCACACCGACCCATGCAAAGGCAATTGCAGGCTCAGTACCCTTCCCTGCGCCCCCCACTTCCCATTTCTCTCCTTGAGCTGTGCCAGCCTCGGCCAGGCGCGTTTGAGTTTTGGGCGTCAATTCCGGGACTCCGACCCTGATAGCATGATGTCCACCACCTGGCCGTCTTCGGGGCCCAGCCGCCGCAACCTTGGGGCTAGGCTCGGACAGTAGCATCAAGCCCCCGGATCCACACATGTGCAATGCTCGTGCTCGATAATTTTCCTCCGCAAGGCCAGTGTTTGATCTGCAGGCATCTGGCATTGCCAGTCTGCATGCAAATCTGAGTTCCCTCTTGCTCGCGCATTGCTGCCTTACGGCACGCTGAACTCTGCACCAGCAGGTTTTCCGTGTGTGCCCCTTGTCCATACACATCAAGGCATCCGTCTGCGCGGCAGTTGTGTAAAGCTCTGCCTTCAGAATTGATCATGGTTGACTGCGGAAGGCAATTTCAGTCGGACAGTCCCTGGCACAGTGTATTCTGCGATCTCCGTACATCCCTTGGGGAGTGTCAGAGCACGAATTGCTGCCTCTGCTTTGGCTTTGGCATTGGCATGTAAAGCAGAGTACAGTACACCTACAAGACTGCAATCTACCGTCTTGGAGCGCAAAACGAACACTTTGATCAAGGGCGCCCGCTCAAGTTCGAATCAACTTCAACTTGTCGGCCATCTTGTCCACGGCCTGTCCTGCACTTGCAACATAGCCACTACTACAATCAGGTAGCTTGCTGCCATACTGGCCACCCGACGCACCGTCAAATTGCACACCAGGCATTGCGACCAAGAAGCGTACAGCTTGGATGTCGTTGTGCATTGTGCCTGTCCAGGCAATCAAAGCAAACACCCACGACCACTCCACGCTAGTTTCCTGTGCCGCCAGGCGGCCACATTCCCTCATCAGCGTCACCAAGTCAATGGACTGGGCCGTTCCTTTCAGCCGCCGGGCTCCGCCAATGAACTCCTTGGGTTGGGGCGAAATGGGCTTGAACGACTTTAACCACACAAAGGTTTCCTAACTAATGTTTCACAAGGGTGGCCCATGGCTCCTGGTAGGAGATAGAGCCATCCCCATCATCCAAAAGAGTGAAGAGGTTTTCCGCGTCGGAGGACTGCAGGTCCAACGCTGCCAGCCACAGCCGGAAGCGGGGATCCTGAGATCAAGTCAGGATCCACCGGCATTTGGGCCAGTCTGTTTTTGAGGCTATAACAAAAACTTGAAGCACTTACCACCAAACAACCTGAGCCACGGTTTGCTTTTGTTTTCAAAGATGGTTTTAAGTCTGCGCGCACGCTGGTCAGGAAACTGCCACTGGCGAGCAACTCCCTGACAATCTGCCAGGCGGAAAAATGTCCCGAATCAACCTCGCCCCTGGAAATTTATGATTCATTGCCAGGACCAGACTAGTCAGCAGTTAGCTACCCTCCACTCACACTTTCCCAAAAAGTTACCCTCCAGCTAGTCACCCCACAAAAATGAGCCCACTTTTGTCACGGCTCACCATTTCGATAGGAAACATCAAGCGATGAATGCAGAGGAAGCATCCATGATCTTTGCAGTTGTTGTTTCTTTAATGTCACCTTGGACCTTGATGCACGCACCGTGTCCGTCACTGACGATTCTGCTGGTGGAAACTTAATGTTGTCATCATCGTCGTGGACATGAGTGAGGCGCTTGCAAACAGCTTCTGTTTGGCCGCGGGTATTTGTGCCTGTTCCGCCTTTCCGGGCCCCCATTACGCCTAATCGCTGGGATCTGCGGCGGCATCTTCGGCCATAGTGGCCTTCCCGCCTGTTGCGCTCTTTCTGAAGGGTTTAAATCCGCCTCGTCGGCGATTTCCTCGCTTCCCCCTTTATCTGCGATCTTGCTTCGTCCTGTTTCAAATTCGCCCTGACAGCTTGCCCATCATGATCTTCAAGGGCCCACAATGCCTCTTCATCCTCATTTCCACTTTCTTTTCCAACTTCACATTCTCTTCAAATGTTCGCCATCGTTCTCCTCAACTTGCCCGAGGTTTGGATCTTGCTTGGCACAATGAAAAGGTCATTATGCTGTGCTTTTCAGCATCTCGTGTCTGTAGTTCCCAAGTTGGTGGCTTCTGCAAAAAAAGCATTGCAGCGTCAGACCACTCTTGGTGATCAAGAACTGGGCAACAAGGTCGTCCTTGACAGTGCCTTTTGCTGCGCATCAAAAATCTTTACCTGCCTATCTCAGGATCATTCCAACCCGGCTCTGGGCGGTGCTCCGGCTGCAGCCGATGGAGCCGCTTGTCTTGCGTTTGATTCTTGTACTGATCGGATACACTGTGGTGATTGCGCCCTGGCTGTGACGTCGCTTCATGCTGACTTGAGTCTCCGAAGCAAGATCTCAAACTTTGAACTGAATTTGAGGAACTCGTTGTTGTTGCTTCTCCGGTGGTTAAAGAGACTGAGGAGTCGACGCAGCACACGTTCGTAGCTCCTTTCAGGAAGTGCTTCTTGATCGTATTCTTGAAGCATTTCACACGTTGTCTAGCAACTCTTCTTCATACATGACCACATCACCACTCAATCCGCTCTTGATAATCAATCCCAACTTTTCTCGCTCCACTGACGTGAATGGGCCCCTCATATCTGCACCAGCTGACACGTCCGCCGTACAATAACGCAAAACTGGGCGGCCATTGGCACATTCATTGTTCCTGTGCCCGCGTAGGCCTCCATGAAGACTTCCCCATCTGACAATATCGTCCTAATGTCTGAAAAATCTGCTCCGCTACCACAGTTCCCGAAGGGCCCACTGTTGTCACGGCTTTGGAATTCATTCAGAATCGGTAGATCCCAACCACGCCAGCACAAGCAGCTCTCTTTTTCTACTCAAAGCTGATGGCTGTGAACAAGAAAGCCTTGAGCCCAAATGAAAAGGACCCATATATGCTCGCAAGAAGCTCAATGTCGAAGGAAAACCGAGGAAGAAAAAAAGGAAGCTGGGACCAGTCCTGCAAGGCCCTCTTGAACTCCTCTCTGTCGAGCGCGCCACTGCCATCCGTGTCAAGCTCGTGGAAGAGCGCGCCCACCTTGTGGTTTGGCGAGGAACCCGCTTTTTCGCCGCAAGGGCGTTTCTACGATTTCACAAAGGCAGCCGAAGAAGGCTTAGGTTTTGCGCAGCGGAGAGGAACATCCAAAGAAGCAGGGGGGAAAGTAAGAAACCAAGAGGAAGCTTGAAGCGTCCAGAAAGGGGTCCTAAGCACATATCCCAAAATGAAACCTCAAATTTGGAAGCAGCACACAAATCCAATTCCCTCCAAGGAACTCCTTTCGAGTGGCTTTCAACAAGCCTCTTCTTTTGCAATACCAGCAACTCGTCGTCTTCGTTGGCAACTCGCATGGTCTGCTGAATGAAGATGCCGGTGATGACCTGGAGCGTGTGTAGACTAGACGTTGCGCGTGTGGCAGCCCCCGAGCGAACTGCACACGGATGTGGGGCCGGCCAAGCCGCATGGGCGAGGAGCAGAGCAAAAGATGCTTGGCCGAGGGTGGTGTGCTGGAAGCGTTGAACAACAAAAAAATTCATCAGAATCAGCGAACAGTGCCAAAGGTACCAGTGCGACACCTTGTCTTTTTGCCAAGAAAAATATGTTGGCTTGTCTAATTGCAGTTAGGCTGACCAATGGCCTAGCCAAAGGCCCAGCCCCCCAAAGCTCGCCGGCTGTCGGCCAGCTCGCGGCCTTCAACACGGCAAAGCCCACCACCAGCTTGTACACGAGAATGCCAGCCTCGGTCAGGATGTGACGCAGGCACTAATTTGGGGGTCACAGCGTGTGACCCAATTTGGAGGCGAGCAGAGGCAGTTCTTGATTGTTTACGGGGGTTCGCTCATTGCTCATTGATGTGTGTGTGTGTGTGTGTGTGTGTGTGTGTGTGTGTGTGTGTGTGTGTGTGTGTGTGTGTGTGTGTGTGTGTGTGTGTGTGTGTGTGTGTGTGTGTGTGTGTGTGTGTGTGTGTGTGTGTGTGTGTGTGTGTGTGTGTGTGTGTGTGTGTGTGTGTGTGTGTGTGTGTGTGTGTGTGTGTGTGTGTGTGTGTGTGTGTGTGTGTGTGTGTGTGTGTGTGTGTGTGTGTGTGTGTGTGTGTGTGTGTGTGTGTGTGTGTGTGTGTTGTGTGTGTTGTGTGTGTGTGTGTGTGTGTGTGTGTGTGTGTTGTGTGTGTGTATGTGTGGCGTTTGGTGTGTGTTTGTGTGTGTGTGTGTGTGTGTGTGTGTGGTGTGTGTGTGTGTGTGTGTGTGTGTGTGTGTGTGTGTGTGTGTGTGTGTGTGTGTGTGTGTGTGTTTGTGTGTGAGTGTGTGTGTGTGTGTGTGTGTGTGTGTGTGTGTGTGTGTGTGTGTGTGTGTGTGTGTGTTTGTGTGTGTTTGTGTGTGTTTGTGTGTGTTTGTGTGTGGTTGTGTGTGGTTGTGTGTGTTTGTGTGTGTTTGTGTGTGTTTGTGTGTGTTTGTGTGTGTTTGTGTGTGTTTGTGAGTGTTTGTGTGTGTTTGTGTGTGTTTGTGTGTGTTTGTGTGTGTTTGTGTGTGTTTGTGTGTGTTTGTGTGTGTTTGTGTGTGTTTGTGTGTGTTTGTGTGTGTTTGTGTGTGTTTGTGTGTGTTTGTGTGTGTTTGTGTGTGTTAGTGTGTGTTTGTGTGTTTGTGTGTGTGTTTGTGTTTGTGTTTGTGTTTGTGTTTGTGTTTGTGTTTGTGTTTGTGTTTGTTTGTGTGTGTTTGTGTGTTTGTGTGTTTGTGTGTTTGTGTGTTTGTGTGTTTGTGTGTTTGTGTGTTTGTGTGTTTGTGTGTTTGTGTGTTTGTGTGTTTGTGTGTTTGTGTGTTTGTGTGTTTGTGTGTTTGTGTGTTTGTGTGTTTGTGTGTTTGGTTGTGTGTGGTTGTGTGTTTGGTTGTGTGTGGTTGTGTGTGGTTGTGTG